GGCTGGAGTTGGCTTGAGCAAAGATGAATCCTATTACATATTCCTTGCCCTTAAAAACCTAACTAGTGTTCAGCCAATCCAGACCTGTCGCTTCTGGGGCAAGATTTTGGGCCTGGAAATGAACTATATTATAGCAGAAGCACAATTACGTGAAGGGGAAGAGGAGGAGGAAGCAGGAGAGGAAGTTACTGAGGAAGAAGTGAAAGGGATGGATGAGGTCGAAGAGCAAGATGAGGAAAAAGAAAAAGAAGATGAACCACCAAAGTCCACCTATAAACCCCCACCTGATATCCCAAAAGAAGAAAACGGGACTGGGGCTAATAAATATGTCTACTTTGTCTGTAATGAGCCAGGCAAACCCTGGGTGAAGTTGCCTCCAGTGACACCAGCCCAGATTGTCTGTGCCAGGAAAATCAAGAAGTTCTTCACTGGTCGGCTGGATGCTCCTGTTGTGAGCTTTCCTCCTTTTCCTGGAAATGAGGCCAATTACCTGCGTGCGCAGATAGCTCGAATCTCAGCAGGAACCCATGTCTCTCCCACTGGATTTTACCAGTTTCCAGAAGAGGAAGAAGAGGAAGAAGGTGGGGACACATATGAAGAAAATCCTGAATTTGAGCCTCCTGCTGTGGCTGAAATGGTGGATTCTCTCTCCACGTGGGCACACCATGTAAAGAATATTCTGAAGCAGGTATGTGCTCAGCAGGTATGTGCTCACACCGAGCACCATTCGGATACCATTCACACTGCAGTACTTGTACAGTACAGAATGTCAATGACACTCCTCACCTGCACCTTCAGACTATGGTATTGGACTGCAACGTTTTTATACAGAAGATATATTTTATATATAATATGTAAATATCTTGCACATGTACATATATATATATATTTAGGAACCTTCTAGATTTAGTACTTTTTTCAATTATGCGTTCTTGAGGTTGAAACCTATCTTTAGATAACAGTATGGAGTTAGACCCTGATAACTGTGATTTCTGTTAATCTTCTGTATTAGGTTCTCTGCTTTGATATCCTTACTTGACAAAAATGTTTAAAATTTTCCTTTCTTGGGTAGGATGCTAAAATGCAGATAGCTTTTGATTGTATGCTAAATTGAACTTATTTGTTGTTTTCTTCTTTTTGTTTTATACTTTCTGCTGTAAAACATGCAAGTGAAAAAGCTTAAGAGCATGTGCTATCAGGCCTGTGCTAGAAAGAGGTATTACTAATTTGATGATCATTGCTGGATGGTTGGCTGGCCAATCTACCAGTTCAAGAATGCTAGTGTAATATAACAGCAAATGGTAGGAAATGAGGTTTAAACTTACCACCAGCAAAACAACAGTTGTAAAAAATAAAGTTTATATGCACTAGAGTCTTAAGAACACATTCCTCTGACTGGTAGCTAAATAACAAGGTAGATTTTAAAGGAAGAGGTAAAGTCCATACGTTACGCCTCTTAGTTTGCAGTAACTGGTAGTCTAGCAAGGATATAAATGAAACTGATCAGGAACTGAAGACTGCAAAATCACAAAAAACTAATGGCAGAGGTATAAGGTTATTCTGAAATAGTAAGTAGGGATGAGTGAGGAAGGAGAGAGGAAAGAGGGATATAGGAAATGCTCTGCCAAGAGGATACAATATTCTGCCAACAATATATCGGTTATGGAATACATATTTTTCTTCTCCCTACCCCTTAACTCTGTGTGTGTGTCTGAGCCAATTGTTTTAACTGACTTGCATTCTTTCAGTGATTGTTACATGTATTTATTATTTTTCCGTATCAATTGTAGGGTCGCTGCGTTTGGATTAATCCTCAAAAATTAGAGGAAAAAAATGAAGAAGAGGAAGAGGATGAAGAGGAGGAAGAGGAGATGGATGAGCAACAGGCAGAAACAGGACCACCCCTTCTTACTCTGCTCTCTGAAGATGAAGGTATTCTTCATGGAACATGAAGTTTTTGATAGAGAGCCACTAGGAATGTTGGCATTTAGGTAGTAAATATTTGAAGTTATAGGACTCTGGCACTTTTTGGAGGAATATAGTTTGCCCCTGTGGAGTAAATGCATTCTTTTAGAGAATCAGTCAAAAGCAAAATGGTTAACAGTATTGACATTAAAACTGAAATAATCAGGTTTACTAGGTAACAATCTTGTTGAGATTAAAGGGAAAAAAATAACTTAGACTTGTCAGGTTATTGCACATTCAGGACAGCTGAAATGCATTCAGCTATTTTTACCTCATCTTTTTAGGGCAAAAAAAAAAGTGTGTGTGCATGTGTAAATAAATTAATTAATTAATATGTACACACATACACTGATGTTCGGTATTTGTATAAACATTTAGATGTTTTAGCATATTACTGCAGCAAATCATGGGAATAAGGGAGCCTGAATATTAGATTACATCAATATTAAATTATTTTCTTACTCTCTATTCTTTAATGGAGGTGAAATATAACTATATAATGTATCCATAAGTGCTAAAAAGTCCTTGACAAAAGAAACCATGGTTAATGCTACTGAATTTGAGTAGCACTCCTGTGGGTCTCTTAGAATTCCTATGCTACCTGCTCATACATTCGAGCCACTTGTTCAAATACAGTTTATTGTTTCTGACTTTTGGCTCTTCTAACATGCAACTTAATATAACTGTTGCTTGAATTCTGTAAGTCTTTCTGTAATTCTGAAAATCTTGTAGCTCAGTCTTAAATGTTTTGTAGAGGCTTCTAAGTGCGTTTATTCATAGACAGTGTGTGTTTGGCTGCCTCCAGGAATTAAAGACATCCCTGCTTGGACAGCTCAGCATTCTACAAACCTGATCCCACAACACTCTGTTGCAATTATCCAGTCTAACCGGTGGCCTGGAGCATATGCCTTTGCATCTGGCAGGTGAGAATCTAGTTGACATGGTTACAACACAGACTGTATATGCTACACACAGGCATCTGGCAAAGTTGCTTTATTATTAATTCATTGACTGAATTCTAACTATTCCGGAGACTGATGGAGAAGGCCACTTGAATGTGCACAGCAACAGTAAATATTTATTTAAGAGTGAAAACAAATAATCATTGGAAAGACTGGTATAAAATTAGTGGATGTAAATGTCCAGTTAGTATTTGGGCACAGTCCTTGATTTAAAACTTGTGTTCTTGGGTCTGTGGTACTTTCTACAAAAACATCTACATTCTGTGGTTCTAATGTTCGTTTGTTTCCACTACAAATAGTGCAGTCATGACCTCCACCTGCTTTTAAAAAGGCACTGGAGTTGGTGTCAGAAGTGGCGCTATGTTGTTGCCTGTGAAGTTGGAGTCATATTGCAATATAGTGCAGTGACACTTCATCATTTTAATCAACCATTAGAGCGGTTAAAAAGGGTGCCATCTTTTAAATTATTCTGTTATAGGATATCTGTAACTTTTTGTGCAGCAGAGTAAGGAAGCCTGACAGTATCTCTGCTGATATTTTGTCAGGGGCTGAATGTTTTCTTTCACTTCTCTTTCTCAGGAAATTTGAGAACATCTACTTTGGCTGGGGTCACAAATACAGTCCAGAAAACTACACTCCCATCCTGCCCCCACCAGTGCAAGAAGAATATCCCAGTGGTCCAGCGATCACTGAGGCAAGAGACCCCACTCTGGAAGAGGAACTGGCTTTCAAGGCTGCGCAGGAAGCTTTAGCTGCAGGTGAAGAAGAGGAAGAGGAAGAGGAAGAAGAGGGGGATGATTAAAATGTGGGGGACAACATTGTTTTAAAACTTTAAACGTGAATAGTATTTTCATGATGTAGTCATTAATTTGTTGACCTTAAAAGAAATGCAATTGGAGCATACCTTCTTTTTTGATTTCTCTAGGCTTCTCTTTGCAACTACCTTCCACTCCTTCTCCACCCCTAAAGCCCTTCATGAAGACTGTGCAATGAATGACTTAGCCTTTTTCTTAGATGACTGTGCAGTCTGCTTGCTAAAATGATATTGATTTAAACTAAGAACTGTAATCCACCAAATGTTCACACTGTTTTTCTAACCCTCACTTCAGTACATTTTAAATAAAAAAAATTATAATCACATAACAATGTGTGAAATGTGTGCTTTTGTGTGTGAAAGCATACTGTTTAGATTCAGTAGACAGCTTATCGAGGTACTGGCCAAGTGCATGATGACACTGATCAGCAGCACTGCTGAGGCCGCACTTCGAATCCTGTGTTCAGTTTTGGGCCCCTCACTGCAAGAGAGACATTGAGGTGCTGGAGTGTATCCAGAGAAATGCAACAGAGCTGGTGAAGGGTCGGGAGCACAAGTCTGATGAGGAGCGGCTGAGGGAGCTGGGGGTGTTTATCCTGGAGAAAGGAGGCTGAGGGGTGACCTTATCTCTCTCTACAAGTACCTGAAAGGAGGTTGTAGCCAGGTGGGTATCAGCCTCCTCCTCAGTTACAAGCGATATAAGAGGAGCAAACAGCCTGAAGTTGCGCCAGGAGAGGTTTAGATTTGGATATTAGGAAAAATTTCTCTATGGAAAAGGCTGCCATGGATTGGAACCGGCTGCCCAGGGCAGTGGTGGAGCCACCATCCCTGAAGGTATTTAAATGACCTGTAGCTGTGGCATTTCAGGACACGACTTAGCAGTGAATACGGCAGTGCTGGGTTTACGGTCAAACTCGATGCTCCTGGAGCCTTTTCCCCAGGGCAGCCACCCCTCCATCCCCGCACCACGGCCGCGCCGGCGCGCGCCGCTCGCATCCCTGGGCGGCACCACCACAGAGCTGCCGGCAGACGGGAGGGGGGGTTTCACGGTAGAGCTTAGGGGCTGATCAGCCTGTCCCTCACTGCGCTTTCCTTGCCCGTCTCCCTCGCTCCTTCCCCCCCCCCAGCTGCTGGCGAGTGGTACGCTCCGCGTGCGGCTTCCGTCGCACGTGGGCCAATAGGGAGCGGTCTCTGGAGCAGTTCAAACTGCGGTGGCGGTTGGGGCGGGCCGTGCCTGTCCAGAGCCGTGTCGGGTCCCTGTCCCGGTTCCCGGTCTCCCTTGTCCCGGGCGGGCATGGCGGACGAGGGCGCGGTCACGGTCTGCGTGCGTGTGCGGCCGCTCATCGCCAGGTGAGGCTCCGGGCAGGCGGGAGGGGAAGGCTGCAGCGGCGTTTACCCCGGAATGCTGCCATACTCCTCGCACCGTGAGGGGGCCGGGGCAGGAAGACGGTGTCTATCCCCGTGGCGGAAGGAGGGTCCAGATCCCTCCGGGGTAGAGGGTGTCGCGGTCAGGGGTCCGTGTTACGGGAGCAGAGCCCTGGCCCGATGAAGGTAACAGAGTATCTTCTTCTCTTAGAGAAAATGCTTCAGGAGATAAAGTGTCCCTGCATTGGAAGAGCGAAAATAATACTGTTTCCGACGTGAATGGTACCAAAATATTTAGTTACGGTAAGAATGTGAAAGCAATTGCTTTGCTTTGATGCTTATGCGGACCTCCGCTACTGTACTGCTTGAACGTGTCGACGTGAGTGCCCTGAGCTTCCTGCAGTGTCCCTCAACTTTTCCAATTTCATAATTCTGAAGCAATGTCGTGGAGGCACAGAGGATTTCTGGTTTAGGCAACACTGGGAATGTGCTTTTGAAGTCAGCTTCCTGGTGGACGTTGCTTTCTCTGTTCTGATTTATGCTCTAATGGCTTTGGAACACATGAACTCGATTCTTTTCACATGAAATCCAGTTACAGACTAGACCAGGGCTAGTCCAGAGCATTTAGGGAGAAGGGGGTGGGGGGTAGTGAGTTGACCGTGGCTGGTTGCCAAGTACCCACTAAAGTCACTCTCTCACTCTCCCTCTGCAACTGGACAGAGGAGAGAAAAAAAAACAGCTAAGGATTCTTGAGTTGAGATAAGAGCTGGGAGAGGTCACTTACTGATTACCTTCACGGGCAAAACAGACTCAAAGTGGAGATATTAATTGAATTTATTACTAACAGGATCAGAGCAAAAGAGTGAGAGGTAAAATAATCTAAAAAGACCTTCACCCCACCCCTGCTTCCTTCCGTGCTCTCCCTCCTCCCCGCCAGTATTGCAGGGAGACAAGGAATGGGGGTTATGGTGAGTTGTTGTTTCTGCTGCTACTCAGGGAGAGGAGTCCTTCCCCTGCTCCCATGGGATCTCCCACAGGACACAGTCCTTGATGGACCTCTCCAGCATGAGTCCATCCCTCAGGCAGCAGTTCTTCATGAAACTGCTGTCCCGTGGGTCACTCCTCCATGGGGTGCAGTCCTTCATGAATGAGCTGTACCGACGTGGGTCCCCCACAGGGGCCACAAGTCCTACTTGGGAAAAACCTGCTCCAGCATGGGCTTCCCTCTCCACGGGCTGCAGGTCCCCAGCAGGACCCTGCTCCAACCTGGGCCTCCCACAGAGTCACAGCCTCCTTCAGATATCCACCTCCTGCAGAGTAGGCTCCTCCATGGGCTGCAGGTTGATCTCTGCACCCTGATGGTCCTCCATGGGCTGCACGAGGACAATTAGCCTGTCTTGTCTGATTTACAATCCTCAGAGATAAATTAGCCATAACTATACTAAATAGGATGACTGTTTTAACTGTGTCCTCCATTCTTACAGTCATCTGTGCATCGCATCTTTCCTGGTTTTGTGCTTAATATTTATTTTAAAATAAAATTCTAAAAGCCTGATTAGTAGTGCCACAGTGATATTTTATGTTTGAATTACTCTACAAACAGTGATGCCTATTTATTGGATTTGAAGTCAGTGATACTGAGTAAGATGATAGGTTGGTTTTGACTTGCAATACAAGGGATTCACATGCTTTATTTTAATTTGTTTTTAAGATCGTGTCTTTCACTCCAGTGACAACACTCAGCAGTTATATGATGGTGTAGCTGTTCCAATTATACAGTCAGCTGTGCGAGGTTATAATGGTAAGTTTTAAAACTGTGTTTAAATCCTGTTTGTAAACTGTTTTAGAAATAGTTGGTAAAACTCTACTATCGTTCTAGGCACAATTTTTGCTTACGGACAGACTGCTTCAGGGAAGACTTACACAATGATGGGAAATGAAGATTCTGTGGGCATTATCCCTAAGGCAATTCAACATGTTTTCAAAATTATTTGTGAGGTGAGCAATTCCATTAAATTGAAGTGACTGAAAGGACTAGTAATATTTGTGATCATTACATAAAAGTTTATTTTAGTATCAAGGAGCTTATGAAGGAAGTGAATTTATATTAGACTATATGTTGCAGTTGCTTTGCTAGCCCGGAAAAGATGAGTGGTTTAAAACAAAAAGCTAATGGGACTTTAGTTGAAATTAAATAAGAGCAACACTGATGAGGGTTCTTAAACTTGCAAATATGTTCAACATTGATTACAAGTATAAATAGATGCTCACTTTTTCATGTGGTAGATAAGGTAACATGAAGCTTTGTGTTTATTCTGCTATTTTAAAAGTCTAAAAAATTAACAGCAATAAAGACTTTTTTTTTGGTGGGAAGAATATGACACTATATTTACTTATTTCAGACTTACAAAAGAATTGCTAATTGCTCAAGGTTAATAAAAGTAAGGAGAAGGTGTAAGTTAAAACAGTAATTTCTAAAACATGATTTGTAGAGCGCTTACTTCTGCCTTGAGGGTATCAGGTAATCAGTTAAGTGAAATGCTCTCTGCTCCTTTAAGGAGGTGCAGGGTACCTTGGGAGGTTTATGAAAGTAACTGAAGCCAAGAAAACTTTCCCTGAGTCCATTGTGCAGCCTTTTCTCACTCCAATATTCTCTACCAGGGAGGTAGGGGAAGAAGCAGCAGCAAAGTAAATCCAAACAAGCAGAGAGAGAAGACAGGGTACACAGAGAGGAAAGAGCCTCTCTGCGTAGGAGGAAATTGGTTATGAAAAGGGTATTTAAGTGGGAAAACCATTCTCATGCTTCTGTGGGGCAGTTATCTTAATTTTACAACCTATTAGAAGTGGTATATCTTTAATGCAGCTGGAAAGAGGTGGTATAGAAGAAAAATTATTCTGTATTGGTAGATGCTAATGCTGCATAGAGGATGAGGGGAAAGAAATCTGTAGAACAATATCTAAACATACATCTCTGAGTTAAGAATACTTGCATTAAAAGATATTCATCAGTTAGTCTGTTAATAATTTTTTTTTTCTCTTTCAACGTTAGATCCCAGATAGAGAATTCTTGCTAAGAGTTTCTTACATGGAAATCTATAATGAAACCATTACAGATTTACTTTGTGATAGTAGGAAAAAGAAGCCTCTGGGAATTCGTGAGGACTTTAATGTAAGTGGATCTTATGTAATGTAAGTGTTGTATCTGCTTGTAGTAAAAGAATTTGAAAACAAAATGCCTTCAGAGGCATCTAGTTGAAAGCTTTCCTGGGTCAAATTGTGTAATTGTATCCTCAGCATTAGCAGAAGGACACTTGATATAGTAGAATAACAACAGTGACTTTGGGCTTTCTGTAGCTAGTTTACCTTTTTCAAAGTAGATACACTTTTCTTCTACTATAATCATGGAATAACCATGAGACTGGAACTATTCAGGAAGATGATCACCATAGAAAAAGAAATCTACTTTAACGCCGTGTTCAGTTTCTTTATATAAAGTTTTGTAGCAAATAATAAAAATTGGTTGATTGTTGTTTTGGTTGTTTTGTGGTTTTTTTTTTTAATTTTGATGCCCTAAACAATGGATGTTTTTGGAATATGGGAAGAAGAGAAATTTACCAGTTGTATGATTATATCCTTATAACATTTACTGAAAAATGTATTCCTGGATTCCCTCAGAAGATGTCCAGAAGGATATTTCCCCCAGCACTTCTGTTTTTTGGAAACTTTCTAAATCTCTGGGTTTTGATTCTTGTGCCTTTAAGCCACAGTTTTGAATAAGGTCTAAACTTTATCCATCCCTTGTGTTTGGAGTAAAAAGACATTCAGCTGTTGAATAAATAGCATAATAATTGCTGGTTATGTTAACTTTGTGTATTGAAGTGAGTTTTGGAGTTCAGGAGAATTTATGACTGTGTTTATTCTATAGAGGAATACATATGTAGAAGATCTGATTGAAGAAGTAGTGGTTGCCCCAGAACAAGTTATGGAATGGATAAGAAAAGGAGAAAGTAAGTTATTTAGCCACTGTCAGCTGATATTTAAAAAAAACATTGATGGATCAGGTATATCTAGAACCGTGGGGTATCTTTTTGAGTTTATATTCAGAAATCAGTGTTTTTGAGAAAGTTTTAAAATTATGCTTTTTTTCTATTTATCTCCATTTTATCAAAATAGAAGCAGAACTATTTTAATATTGTTTTTGGCAGGAAATCGTCATTATGGAGAAACAAAAATGAATGAACACAGCAGCCGTTCTCACACGATCTTCAGAATGGTAAAAACTGCTTCACTATTAGGAGTGGTTGTATTGTTTTCAAAGTGACAAAAACTTGATTGCACTTTACTGCATTTCTAGATCATTGAAAGCAGAGAACGAAGTGACCCTGCAAATGCAAACTGTGATGGAGCAGTCATGGTTTCCCACTTGGTAAGTGTCTATTTAATGGTTTCTTGGAGTACAGCTTAGTTAGAGAATTTACTGTTACCACTTGTTTGAGAGAATAATGATACTTCATAATGACTTACAAATATGCTTTGTTGTTAACTTCTAGCAGACATTTCTTAAGTATAGAGGGAGACCCCTGGGGCATTACCTAGAGGATAACTTCCCACTGAAGGAAATGCTGACATGGGAATTACCTATACTGAACTGGGGAGTGTTACGTAGCCCTTCCAGGAGCGGAAGGGGCTATGTCAGAGTGCTCTTGCATTTTGTGAAGTACATCTTCCCCTACTATTGTTTCTGACCACCCACAAGCTCAGTGAAATAACTTGTAAAATGGGTAACCTTAAGACTTCTCTTATCCTCAAATTTAGTTGTTGTTAAAAGAACATTTGCCCTGCAGCTCCAATAACCAGAAGATTCATTTTTTTCACAAGTAACCCCTCTTAGCATCTCTTTGGTGGATTATTGGTATATGAAGTATCATAAACTGGGGGGAATACAACTGCTGATCTCTAGGGGAGTGTTATGGTTTCAGAAGCCTTCTCTACAGCCTTTTCTTGATTCTCAGAAAATAATCTGAAAAACTGGAGGAATGGAATTAGTATGAAACCATTTGAGCTTGCTAAAATCTGCAAAAGCACTCTGGAACTGGCAATAGCATTAATCACGTGCATTGCGGAAAGAGCTTTCTGTTTTGGCTTCATGTGAAAAAGCTCAGAGTCTAAAAGTAAACACTGCTCAGGCACTATTTCAGCAAGCTACTGCCTCCTTTTTTTCTTGCCATAAGTTATGGTATCTACTCTTCTTACACCACCCCTACCCTTTGGCCTGTTCCACCTGACCTTATACTAACCTTTACTACCTGGGGTAAGGGGAGAGGTTTTTGGCCTTTTTGGTCTGTTGCTGCTTGATGGAGTTAGTACAGGATTTTACCCTTCTGAAACAAAAACCAGCTAAAGTGAGGGCTACTTGCTCAGGCAAATCATTATGGATTGTTGTGAAGTTCTAATTGACTTTGAACCAGATTCAGAGGGAGGCTTTTCCTCTGGTATTTAATTTCTTCTTTTCTGTATCCCCACAGTGACAGGCAAGGAGAGACATACAGCTGATTCAGGACAGTGTGCTAGATAATCTCATCTAGGCTCTTTTTTCCATGAAAGATTCCTATGGCTTGAATTAGTAGCTAAGCACAGTTTCTCAGTACAGAAGTATCATCTTTTTGTTACTGAGGGTAGGGGTTCTTGCACTGCAAGTTTGAAATACTGTTTGGGGTGGTGTAATAGAGTTCATACAAACTTATTCTGTGTACTTTTGTACCTTGAAAGTATGGGTTGATGTGTGTATAGCAGCTATGGTTACTTCCAATAATGACAGACCTCTTGGGGTTTTTTAATAAACTGTGGTTTATGAAATTCTTAGCAGAGATTTAGAATTAAGAGGATTTAAACTAAATTTTCTCAGAAGTAACCTGTGAAATACTTAATAAATTTGCAGAACTTGGTAGATCTGGCAGGCAGCGAAAGAGCTAGTCAAACAGGATCTGAAGGTGAGTATTAAATGGGGCTCTCCTGATGACTATTTCTGTTAATTAACCCTAACAAGAGACTGTGATAGGAAATTCTTTGATCTATGTGCTATTGTGTTACTTACTGTTTATAAATAAGCTCTTTTCCCCTTGGTAGAGCACGTTCTAGTCAGGAAAATACTGTAAATGCTGTAAAGTGCAAACAATTAAGTAGTAATATTCCTTTTCTAGAGTAGCAGGCCTGGCAACAGTCATGCACTGAACTAATAGAATGGAAATGACTCAGTAAAGATTCACCTGTAATAACAAAATCACTAGAAGCTTTTTAGGGACTTTTATATAAAGGTGAAGAGGGAGTAGATGGCTTGTTCTTTAGCTATTGAGAAGCTTGGCTGTTAAAAGTGACAGCATGAAGCTGCACAAAAATGTCTTTATCAGAAAAAAGTGATCTGAGAGGGACACAAGTAAATATTCTCTCTCATGAAGAATGACTAACCCAAAACTTGTATCTAAGGCTGGTTTGTTATGCATGTAAATGTTGCAATTGCAAAATTTAAACAGGAAACAAAATTAAAGTTCTTATAGCACCACCTACTTACTCTATAAAGGTTCTAAATGTTCATTTGTGATTACTCTCTTACTTCGATGTTTTTTTGGCTATTATGAAGGATTTGATACGGCCTGCTGATGGCTCATAGTGCATTGTGGCACTTGAGATTCAACTCTTGGATAATCCTTCTGAGCATAACATAGCACACAAGCTTGACAGGTTGAAAACGTATCTTAATGTTTTAAATTTAAAATAATAATAATAATTAAAAACATTACTGTGTGGTACCTAGGTGTCCGATTGAAAGAAGGCTGCAATATAAATCGGAGCTTGTTCATTCTGGGTCAAGTTATCAAAAAACTTTGTGATGACCCTTCTGGGTAAGCAACTGTTCATACACCTGTTATAAGTCACTACTAAACTAAGAAATTAAAATCCTTTATTTATAATATTTTGTAGGTAACTGTTTCAAATAACCTATTATCTCTAGAAAATGTATTTACTGCGAGTTTCTTCTATGCAAAAATCTGAATGATTTTTTTTTCTTTCCTCTTTTTCATTAGCTTCATAAATTACAGAGACAGCAAGCTGACTCGAATTCTGCAGAACTCCCTTGGAGGAAATGCTAAAACTGTTATTATTTGTACAATTACTCCAGTTTCTTTTGATGAAACACTCAGTACTCTTCAGGTAAAGCTTCTCACCTGTTCTTCAGCACTATTCTGGCTGAAGGCTTTGTTGTAGATAGGGGAGGGTGGAAAATGTAATCTGATGGATCTTTAATGACTTGGATGTTCTAAAGGGCTTCTGTGGACTCAGAATTTGAAATATTTGTTTTGTATACAGAACCTTTTCACAGTCGTCATTTTGTATTAAGTTGTCTACCTAGAGCTTTCTGGGAGTTGGAACAAAGCTCCTTCTCTTGCAGACAGGAGATAACCTCTCTTCTCATTTGCCTTTTCCAAACACAGTTAGAACAAGTCTTTGCTAACACAAGATTTAAGACAGGTACTACAGGAAAGGAGAGTAATTGAACTGTTAAAGAACACTGTTCTGTAGGTAGGATCGTCTTCCTTTTTGGTGGTCTTTTGAGCTTTCTATTAAATAAAAATAATGTGGGATATATTTCCTTAAATGTTATGCTTCATGTTTTAGATATTAATATCAAGCAAAGAAAACTTACTTTTCAAATCTCAGAATACATTAAAAATAAACCAATTTCGATATTTGTATCCCTATTATATGCTGCACTTTATCTAATAAACTCTCCCTTTAATTCTGTTGGGAAATATGGGACAGAGTAAGTCTTTTTAGAATATTTGTTCTCGAACTATTGCCCATGAAAGCATATTCTTTCAGTTTGCCAATACAGCCAAAGGAATGAAGAATACACCAAAAGTCAATGAAGTACTTGATGATAATGCCCTCCTGAAGAGATACCGAAAAGAAATTGTGGACTTGAAAAAGCAGCTGGAGGAAGTGTGTAATAAACTTCTTAAAATTAATCTATCCATAGCACTGATAGCTGTTTGGAAACTACCTGTTTTAAACCAAAAGCAGTTAAATTTGCAGGAGTAGGTAAAGTGTTTAAAGTGATATGTCATTTTTATTGAGAGAATAGAAGTTGAAAAGGTGATGTATAGTCTAGAACAACTGATGATAGTCCATATATCTGTGAAAGCTAACACTGAGATCAACTAAGAGAATTGCTTTCTTTCACTAGGTTAATATAATTAAGAAATAGAAATTTGTCACGCGTTATAGCACACTTTAACAGATCAAAATTAATTGCAATATAAGAAGTTACTGAATGTCCATTAAAGACCACAGCTTAATCCATATTTTTTCCCCCTTACTGATGTTTAACCTTAGTTGGAGTTGCAAGAAGTTGCAACTGCATTAAGATCACTGGCAAAACTTAGGTCATGTAAAGTCAGAAGATACATTTAGAAAATGAACAACAGTAACTTCCCACAAAACAGTGTAATCTCCCATATGTTCATCTTTCTCTAAAAATCAATGTAGTTGTGGAGCAATCTTGCAAGTCTTGTTAGAGCATAGATATTAAAACATAAAGCACAGGAAAAAAACAATGCTGAACATACTGTTGTGGTGAATAAAATCAAAGTATGCACATATATTATGTTGCAAATTATAAATATCCTTAGAAAAAAATTTATGAAAAATAACTGACCTCTTATTTTTAACAGTATTTAATTTGCACCTAGGAGTATGTTTGCTATCTTCTGAGATAGTAAGTAGTGAGGAAAGTCGTACAGAAAAGTTTGTTGGAAAATTCCATGTGACTTTGAATTACTCTACAGCATTGTAAGCTTATGATAAAGTTGTCAAAAAACAGCTGTTACTTTCAAAACAATACATTTTCAGTACTTGGATTTAGAGTCCACATGCATTAGAGTAGCTTGCTGTTACTTGACAATTGAATCATAGTTCTGAAAGAGTTTCAGGCTTCTGGCACCATGGGAAGGTCATCTAATCGATGTTATATTTGAAAGAATGCTTTTTTTTTTTTTTTTATGCCTAGAAAAATCTGAGGCTGTATTGTTTCTGGGAGTTTTGACCCCTTTTAAATACTTAGTCTGCAGGTAAATTGTAGACTAAGTTGTTAGTTTCATTATGAAAGACTAAAGACTCCTCTTCCAGGTTTTAAAGAATATATGTGTGTAGTTGTTTTTAAATATCAGTAATTGTGTCTCTTCCATAGGAGTAGTTTGTGCTCTTAAAATGTCAGTTTGATTAATATTCTTTTTATGGAAGGTGTCTGTAAAGACTCAAATTCATGCAATAGAAAAGGACCAATTGGCCCAGCTGCTGGAAGAAAAAAATTCTCTCCAGAAAGTACAGGAAGACAAGATACGAAATTTAACTGAGATGCTGGTGACCGCTGCTTCCTTTGCCTCAAAAGACAATGTTAAAGTAAGCACCTGTTCTAGATCTTACTTGATGACTCTGAAATACTTTGTGAAAGGTAATATTAAATACATAGGGTTATATTGACAATGAAGAATAAGTATGATAAGCAATTTTCACTTTTTTTCCCATATTTTTAAGAGGCTAACTTATAAAATAACTTCCAAGTATAATTCAGTATTGCTTTGCAGTGAAAAGACTGCAGACACTTTTCCTTTCAAACTACCATGCTGTAAATTTTGAGGAAACTGCAAAACCCTGTCTAGTTAGTTGCTGGTACTGTTGCAGAACTAGCTTAATGCAACATTTACTCTGCCTACTGGTTTGATTTTTATCACTTTTCTGTAAATGCTTTTTTAAAGGCCAAGAGAAGAAGAAGAGTTACTTGGGCTCCTGGTAAAATAAAACAGGCAAATGTGAGCTATTTTGAAGACTTCGAAAAAGATATGCCGACTGAAACAAAAAAAATGAAAATGTCTCTGTCAGCATTACCAGATGCAGATGATTGTAAGTAACCTCAGGAAAAAATAAGGAAAGTCTGCAAAGCAACTTTGAAATCAGAAATAATTCCTTTTTAATAGATCTAAGTTAAAAAGCAAATCAATTTGTTAACAATACAAAAGCTAAATTTAGTTGCCACTGTACTCAAATAATATTCCATGTTTATCTGCCAGAAAAGAATGCTGCCAGGAAGGGAAGTGGATTTAGCACACTAATTATGGTCATTCTTGTGTTGGAAATAAGGTTCATTTTATTTAAAAAGTGGGAATATAGTTGCTATCCCAGGTGAAATAACGTGTAGCATGGCCAGCAGGTCCCTGAAATAACGTGTAGCATGCCCCTCTGTTTACTCTGGTCTCGTGAGACCTCAGCTGGAGTGCTGTGTCCAGCTCTGGGGTCCCCAGCACAGGAAGGACATGGACCTGCTGGAGCGAGTCCAGAGAAGGCCACAAAGATGATCAGAGAGATGGAGCACCACACCTCTCCTATGAGCAAAGGCTGAGAAAATTGGGATTTTTCAGCTTGGAGAAGAGAAGGCTTTGGGGTGACCTTATTGTGCCTTTCCAGGATCTGAAAGGGGCCCACAGGAAAGCTGGAGAGGGCATGTAGCGATAGGAGAAGGGGGAATGGCTGTAAATTGAGAGTGGGTTTAGACTGAGTATTGGGAAAAAAATCCTAATTGTGAGGATGGTGAGGCACTAGAACAGGTTGCCCAGAGAGGTTGTGGTTGCCCCATCCCTTGGAAGCGTTCAAGGCCAGGTTGAATGGGGCTTTGAGCAACCTGGTCTAGTGAAAGGTGTCCCTGCCCATGGGGGGAGGGGAGATGCAACTAGATGGTCTTTGAGGTCCCTTCTAACCCAAACCTTTCTATGGTTCTATGAAATTCCTGATAGATAAGTTTGCAAGCATTGCATTACTTAATTTCCCAAAGAGAATAAGTTGATTCTGGATTTGGTTTAGTATTCATTAGCTTGTGATATGGTGGTCAGCATAAGTGTAGAGACTGGACTTCAGTGGTGTTCCCTTTCATGACAGAAAATCATGAGTCAGAACTACTCGGTGTGCTATGTTTTGCCATTGAATGACTATTTCCAATGTCTTACAATTGTTTTATAAGAAAATTCCTGATGTCTAGTTTAAAATCTACTCATACTTTCTTTAATACATCTTTCTTTTCAGCTATGTTAGATAATTCTGAATGTGATAACCAGTATCTGATGGTTCCTGATCAAATTTCAGAAGTAGAATGGATCGCTGGACCTAAAATGACTTGGGTAACATCATAATCTATTTCAGTTGTAATACTGTGCATATGCATATATGCATAATATACTTCTCAGTAAGATCAACCTTATTGTTCTGTAGGACACCAGTATTATTCTATGTGTCTGCAGAATTATTATAACTGGTTAGAAAGTTATCTGGACATCTCTGCAAAGCTGTGGGATGGTTCTCTGCTTCTATGCATTTGTGGCAAATGATCCAGTAAACTTTGGTATATAGAGAGGACTAGCTGTGAAAAGACAAGCAACAAAGAATATAATACTCAACTTGATCTTGTAGATCTGTTAATTGAGAGTGATTCTTTTTCTAGACTCAAAAAGACTTTGAAGAATCTGTGCAACTCTGTGAAGCGATAGCACTTGAAAAGGTAGGTCTGTTCTGAATTTTCTAGAAATAAGACTGACGTTCCAGCAACAGCTTCTAAAGTTTTCTGTGCTGCTTCTTCAGGATATTGCTGTAAATAAGGCCAGCGTCCTGCAAGCTAACCTGGATAACCTAGTGTTGGAAAATGAGCAGTTGAAATTAGAAATAAATGAAATAAAGGAGAAACTGAAGGAAAAAAAAGAAATAGATGAATTTGAAGCACTGGAAAAACAAACTCAAAAAGATCATGAGGTAAGGTGCATTGAAATAGATATGAATTCTCTATGCTCAAATGTTTTCTAGAGTTTATTCAGTGTACATAGACTTGGATGTTGATTCACAAACAGCTACATTTACCAACAGAATGAATGAACCCAGGATTTAAACTGGATTTACTTGGAGTGTAAAATTCAGACAAATTTTTGGCGACTTGTATATGGTTAAATGTATATTAGTGTGTATGTCTATATGTATCTATATATTATTTTTATATACACATGATCTGAATTTCACTCTAGACTTCAGTAAGACAGTTGTTTTGCTGCTTAAATACATTTTAGACCTGTTTTGAAGTTAATGTGTGATTGCTAAACTATATTTCACATCTTTCTTGTGCACAATGTCTTGGTTTACTAGATAGCTCTGGCTTTTGGTAATCTATGGACTATGTGAGCATTAACTTTTAACATACTATTTAACTTCATCATGAAATATTTTAAAATAATAGTGTGAATACTAATGTCTGGAAAATTGAAACATATTTTGTGCCAGGAAGTCAGAAAAATCATAAACTTATCTATTAGATAACTTAGGATGTAGGAAATGCTGATTTTCAGTTCTCTTCACCTCCTTGTGCAGTTGGTGGAGTATCTTGTTTGTCCAAATGTTTTATGCTCTGATTCTGTAACTTTAAATACATACTAATTGTATTAGGTTCTAGCTGCCCAAAGGCTAGACTGTGAAATAAATTAATGCCCAAAGAAAACACAAAACCAGCAACCTGAGGTATTGAGACATGGATGTATTATTCTATTTCTTTCCTGGTGCCTTTGCTGGAGTTTACTTGTCCACATCAGACTGTTCAATATCCTCTGATCATGACACTAAGGTTGACGTTTGTTACCTCCTCTTGCAGTGTTGTTTCAGGTTACAATTTAACAATATCACTGCTTAGTTTCATTGTGTTCCCTACAAAGATTTATGGACCTTAAAGAAAATGGATCCATAAGATATTATAATTTATTTTGTATCTAAGATTCTTTTGAGAAGATCCTTTGTATGCTGGGTTAATTGTGCTATCTGCCTTAGCCAATGTTTAACAAATCCTCAGTTACACAAGAACTTTGCATGGAAAACTGTATCTAATACAGATACAGTGTCCTAAAGCAGTCTCTGTTACAAGAATTGCTTTTTGAATGATTCAAGTTTTATGGACCTGAATACAGTCCATAAAATGTAAGCATTTACTGATGCCCATGTAATAGATTAATTACAGCAATACTGAAAGGTCACATACTTCACTACATTAGTTGAAATCCATCAGTTTATAAAAGTAAATTGCATAAGAATACTCACAGGAGAGTGCTTGTTTTAAAGCTTTTCACTGATCTTAAAATTACAGATTGGATTTTCTCCTTACTTATGCTTGTGACTATACAAAAGTACTTGTAGATGGGTGCTTATTTTAAAGCTTTTCTAACAAAGACCAAAAGAAAGGAGGTCTTAAGTTTCAGAAGTGCCTCTCTATGTAGTCTTCTACTTGTACCTTCTTTCAGAGAATGCCACTGAACGTGTTCATGGCTTGCTTTACTTCAATTTTGGCACCTTCTCATTCCTGTTAGTGAATAGATTAAATCATAAATAACGGCATTGTGTCACAAAAAGCTGCTTAACATGACTAGAATTTGTGTCCTGTCTGTACAATTTCTCCATGAATTGCTTTGATCACATCGCTCTTGCTTCTCAAGCTATTGTAGATAACTTGAATCCTTTCTAATTACTGGGAAGCTAAAAACAGAGCTTTGCATCTTATCTATCCGTTTGAAAGAATATGTAGCATCTTGCTTTGTAGCTGTTTCAATAGATGTGTGTATGTATATATGGTTTGCCCACTACTACAGAAGAAAACACAAGATAGACCTTGCTTGTTTTCATGGTGTTGGCGACTAAAAACTATTGGTGTGGGTGCTTTCTAACATCCTCTGCAATTTTGCTTCAATTTGCTCCACAGATACAACTAATGCATGAAATTACCAACTTAAAGAATCTAGTTTCAAATTCTGAAGCATACAATGAGGAACTTAAGGTGAGCCTCTCCATGCATTTACATGCAGTAAGATTGTATGAAATGTTCTTGATTTGTTTATCTTGAACTACTGTATCTGCTGTGGACATGATAGACATCATTGGGCTTTGGTTAGTCTTACCAGCTAAAAGGAGGATATGTCTAAAACCCATGAACTCTTTCTGTGTAGGTTTTTGATAAATTCTGACCTGAAAAACCAAACTGGGCACTAAAATCTTCCTTCTCTCTTTTTCCTTCAACTTTTAGGCAGAAAACAATTCCAAATCGGAACAGCTGAAAGAGAAAGACAACAAAATAAAGATATTACAGAATCTTGTGGAAGAATTACAAAAAGCAAGAGTGGAAAAAGAGCTATCTTTTTCAGTGGTAAACCTCAGTTTTCTGCTGGGTTGTATTCACATTTTAACCACATTATAATGAACACGTTTTCTTTATTATGTCTAAATAATTTTTTAATTCTTTGAATATTTTTCAGGGAGATTCTGATAAGCTAGTTGAGGAAATTCAGCAGCTGAATAAATCCCTCTTAGATAGTGAAGCCATAGCCTTGGATGCCAAAAAAGAATCTGCTTTTCTCAGAACCGAAAATTTGGAGCTGAAGGAGAAGATGGCAAGTACTTGTTGAACTGCATTTACAGCTGTACCAAATGCTGTTAAGGGCCTGTCTGCTTCCAGACCAGTGAAGAAGGCAATCAGAGTAGTGGAGCACAAGCTTCACAAGAAAGCACAAGTCATTAGCTTTCTCAAAATAGTCTAAGTAATGTTTTTATTATGAAATTCATGGAAAACAGCTCTTCAGGAAAGAGATAAAAAGAAAATAAAGGCTTCTGCCACAGGAGCGGGTGGTTAGTTTTAGGTTTACCAGTAGAAAGCCACAATAAAGGAACAGTTTTTAGGGCATTACTAGAATGTAAGACTTCAAACCTCATTTTGCCAGAGAACAAAAGAGAATAAGAGATGTGAACTCAAAAGTGGTATGGAGCTTAGTTTGAGCTTTGAAGGAGTAAAGACCAAATAGTAGCAGCAGTTACAGCCCTGACCTCTAAGGTGTGTTTTCTGAGAGGGCTCTGACAAGAATGCAGTTGTTAAATATTGGCTTATTCGGCCATATTTATCAAAGCCAAAGCTGTTCAGAGTGACAACAGAAAAATGTACCAGATGCAGTATTTAAATTGTAAGCAAGTAGACTTTTATTTTGTGTGTGACTTACATGTTTTATTGTTTTCCTGAAGAATGAACTCTTAAATAATCACAACCAAATGCAAAAGGATGTTCAAATATATCAAAGCCAAATAGAAGCGGGAAAAGCCAGTTACCGAAAAATGCAAGCTGACTTGCAGAGAGAGTTGCAATCTGTATTTCAAGAAAACTTAAGACTAACTTCACTCATGGAGGGTAAAGTTCCAAAAGGTACTGTTCCAGGTGGTGCTTGTTCCCCTCACCCCATTTCCTCCCTTTTTCTTGTCTTGGGGAGGGGGGAAATAGGGAAGACTTGGAGATTCTGACAATATAAAAATACTGGAGTATCTGGTACGTAGTAACTGCTTTAGCACGTTCTTGAACTTTTTGGAAAACTGCAACTTATGGAATGTTTTATGTTTTGCACAAAGACAGTTAAGTTAGTGAAGGCTGTTGGGGAGAATTTAAGATAAACTGGATGCCAACCTAACAAGTGATGACCAAATTCAGACCAGGAGCTTAATTGTTGGCCATTGTATAATTGTCTAGAATTATACTTATCTGACATCCAGAATGCATTATAAATCTTCTGCTTATTTTAAAACATGATTTTCTTCTCTTGCACTCGCTTATCAGTCTAAACTTGTTAATTCTCTAGATTTGCTCACTCCTATGGAGCTGGAAAAAAAGGCAGCTGACTTAAAAGGAGAATTAGAAAAAGCTTTGGAAGAGAATGCACTTCTACAAAAACAAGTAAACGAGCTATCAGAATTTCAGTCTCTACCAAATACTGTGGAGATGCAGAAGAAAGAGGTAAAAAAAAACCCCTAACCTTTTTTTTTCTTTATTTTGTATTGTACTTGACTGGTAATGTATTAATGGAGGCCTATTGGATATGAAGTTTTAAAGCCAAAAGTTGTTTTGAATCAAATAACCTGAGATTTTACAATTAAGTTTGTTAAATTATTGTTTCTCAGGTATTTAATATTTTTACCTAGGAATAAGTTTAAGATCACATATTTAGTCAGAGTCTACTATAGTTTATTTGGATTTTCTAGTCCAACATTTGTGTGCCTATTTGCTGTGGTCACTATTGATAGCTGATAGATATAATAGTGTTTGATCCTGGATACTATTCTAAAACTGGGGTTTTTTTATCAGTTTGGGCAAAGAGAATATGTCAAGATCTCTTGGCAGAAATGCTACTTGAGAAGTGAGAGATTTACCTTGCTAATTGTGGAAAATGTGTGAGCAAACTATTTTTTTCCTGGCAGGTCAAAGCTCTAGACTAAGTGTGCTGGAAATATGTTTTAAGGGGTTTGTTTGCAAACACTTTCTGGGTTTCTTTGTCCTTAAATACCCGCTACTAAGTATGTGCAATGAAAACTATTCAAGGCAAGTAATCTCACCAGCTCATTAACACTTTGCAAAAAGTTCCAAACCATCCAGTGGTCTACTTCCACTAATCAACAAAACTTCATTAGATGGTAACAACTTCATAAACTCTGTAGCATGAAGAAAGTACTGATACACCTAAATATGCAGTTGAGGAGTCCAGTCTTAGCTCAGACATAAGAAAAAAGAAGTAGTAAAGAACATCTAGAGTTAGAGGAGTGATTTCCAGAATTTGGAAGGGGCTTGACTGTCTTCCCTCTCTTTTAAGGGTTCCTTGCTAGACAGTTCCCTACCAACAAAGCAGAACTGTATTTTGAAATATGCTTGCCTGTACTTTGTTTCCTATATCTGCATATGTACATGGTTTTTAGTAGTTATGACAAATACTGATTGAGAAAATACTATTAATATTGCTTTTCTGTTGGCAGATCCTCGAAAAATGTGAGGAGTTATGTTCATTAAAATTGGAAAATGAAAAGCTGCTTTCTGAAGTAGCTGATAATGAAATTAAACTTAAACACATGACTGAAGAAATTGAAAAATCAAAAGACGATCTAGCAGATGCACAACTGAAATATATGAAGTCTGATCAAGAATATGTGGCACTTAAACAGCTCCATGAAGAAATGGAACAAAAATACATAGCTACATCAGAAAATAATGAAAAAATGAAGCTCCAAATAGAATGTCTTTCTAAAGAAGCACAAGAGTCTAAAACAACTCTGGATGAAATTAAATTAGAGGTCAGTGTCACCTTGTTCTTTTTTACAGACAGGACTTGAGAAATTAACTTATAGTATTAAAAAAAGGAAAAAAGTTTTTGGAGGAGTACTCTTAAAGCTATAAATGACAATATCATTGATTTCCTCTAGCATGAGTGGATATTACTTATTCTGTACCAAGGGTATAATGCTGAAGGATTATGCTTTTCAATGGTCTTTTTTTTTGTAGGCAAAGAAGTGTATATATTGCTCCAGGTTCTCCTTCCTTACTTGATCTTTTAATTCTTCTTTTCCCATTCTTAAGTTATATCTTTATTATGTAGTTTTTTTTTAATGCCACTCTGACCTTCTCTATATAAAGTCATAGAAACAAAGTGGAGACCTTTTAGAACACAAGATATTCAAACCAAAGAGAATTGCTACAGAAATTAGGCATTAGAAAGGAAAAAAAAAATATTAAAGAAAACATTTAAGAAGAAAAGGGAGCCAAAGATACAAAGATACATATTTTTGACAAAGCTTTGGGCACTGGTGTGTCTGTCATATTCCAGCTATGGATTTGATAATTTCTAAAATATGCTACAGTTTCATGTGTGGTGCTATGTTTTAGTAAGACTTTTGCTTCTAAGAAGAAACCACAGGAAAGTTGCATAAAAAAATGCTTATTTGACATGGGTAAGAGTATAAGCAGTAACTTAAAGAGAAATTATGAACTTCCTATCTCTCAGCCCTTCTAAGCTCATATAAGATTCTGTGAGAACATGTACACATAATGGAGTTCTACATTACAATGAAAATATCTGACCTTTTCCTTTGCAATCTAAAGCTCTCGAGCAAAATGAAAGAACTGGAAGAAAAAACAGCAGAACAAAAACAACTTCTTGAGCTAAGAGAAGATTTTATTCGGACTCAGCAGAAGTTAAATGAAATGGAGCAATTAAAAGTGGAAGAAAGGATGAGTGAATTGAGACTGGAAGCTAAGGATTCAGAGATCCAGGCAGTTCTTCAGCAGCTAACTGAATGTCAGGAAGAAATAAAAACTCTAACCCAGGAAAAAGATGACCTGAAGCAAAAAGCAGAGTCTCTCCAAGCTGAGACAGACCAACTCAAAGAGGATATAAAGGACACTGTTTCAATGGTAGGAATTTTGGCCTTATAGAAATAGACCATACGTGTTAAGAGGAAGAGCGTAAGAACACTATAAACTGTATTGAAATACTTAGGGGTGCATGGGAGCAGCAGGTTGTGTGGGATTTTTAAATCAAGGAATGCCTACTAATATTGCAAGATATTTGTATTTTCTTTGTGGATTTTCTCTCTTGTATTCTAAAGAATATCTTGGCACATGAAGAACTGAGAAATACGCAAAGTTCTCTCAAGCAATCCCAGGCCACTGTCAAGAAGTTGGAAAAATATATTTCTGAAAACGAATCTCATGTTTTGAGTGTTGAAGAGGCACTAGGAAAGACCATTAAAGAACTCGAAACACAGGTAAAACTTTATGTTTAAAAATTTAAAATAAAAATGCTTTCAGCGTGTTTTCCAACAGAATGAGAACAAGCCAGTCAACCTGCTTATAGTCTCTTCTGCATGTTCTTAGAAAATTTCTAGCTCCTTGGTAGCAGGTGGGCAAGAAAATAGCACTGCTTGACCCAAGCCTTTACCAGCTGCTGATCTGTTTCTGTTGAGCTTCAAGCTGTGAAATACACTCTAATAAACTTTTGCTTAACTAGTGTGCCCCTTGGTTGTGGATTTGAGTGTTGGCATTTGATGGCAAATGGAAGATGAGATAAGAGTTACTTAAAGGGAAGGAATGAGGTTAATGATTTATAACACTCAGTCCCACTGAGAAGTGTCATGTGATTGGCAATGGCAACTCAGTTCCCAACATATAGCAGAAAGCTGATCCACTGGTTTTTGTGCCAGTACATACAATGAGATTTTTCTTGAAGTATATTAGCTACCAGCAAGTCAATGGTTTTGTATTCAGCGTTTGTGTGCTTTAGAACAGATGCAACAGTATTAACAAAATGGGTTTCTTTGGCTTCTTCCTCTCAGACTTTTTTTACTTAAAAATCTGGCCAATATTGCAGCAGATATTGCTAAAAGCTTAGAAATTAAAATATAACAGGTGACAAAGGTCACAGACTTGGATTTGTAGCTTTTCTTGTTTGGTCAGAATGGTTTAATGTTAAAAACACTGTAGCAAAGTGAATCAAACAAAAATGTTGCATTCAATTTTGAACTGATGGAAACACTATCCTTGCATATTTTTTTTTATAGATCTCACAAATGACAGAAGAAATGAAAGTCATCAAATCAGAGAGAGATCAGCTTGCTGAGGAAAAATCAGAAAGTCATAGCTGGAGAGAAAGTGATCAGCTTCAGGAGCAAAAGGAACAAATCATTTTCCTTACACAAGAGAACCGCTCATTGCAAGAGAAGCTGGACAGTTTACATCTGAAAAAAGAGGCTGGGGAAGGAACTTGGGTAATTATGCTGAGGCTGTAATGGAGAGCAAGTTGTTTAAACTTTCACCTCGGTGAAATAATTTACAAAACACATTGGAGAAAAGGGTCCTGGTCCATGACTGTACAACATTACACAAGAGGTTTATTATTGTTTACTTGCAGTTTACCCCACCCATATTGGTGTATATGGACACGTAGTAGTAGAATGTGACTGTGAGTAGAGTATTAACTTGATAGAGGCTGGTGATGTTCTGCATTGGTCTGCACAGGGTTCTATAATTAAGTGGTTCTACAATTAAGTATCTGAAGCTAAAAACTGCTTGTGTGGAATGGGTGGTTCTGCTTTCTAAAGCATAGCTAGAACTGACTCTTTTCCTGGCAGTGAAAGGGACATTGCAACCAACCCTTCCTGTAGTTAGATGTGCTGATTGCACCTGTGTCTGTGTAGACAGACAGAATGACAGACAGATAGACTTCAAAACAAAAAAAGTAAAGTATGTGTATCCGTTTTAATATGGAAGGGAGAGTGGACAAATCTCAGGTAAATAATTGTCCTGACACCATTGTCAACTACTGGTGAGACTAGAAATAAAGATAAGATCTCCAGTTTTGGGAGGGGGAGGGATTTGTTGGGCGTTTTTGTTTTCATCATTGTTGTTGTTCACCCCATGCTTAAATTATGACAATGAAATTCTGCTTCTGGTAACTTCTTTCATAAGTCCTTGCTTCAAATCTTATTTTTACATGTCCCTTATTTCAAAAACCTTGAATTGCATGTTGTGTTCAGACAAATTTTATTATTCTAAGAAAGCCACAAATCTCTCTAAGACAGCACCTTTATTTTACATACTCCACATGTCAAAGCTCAGGTATACTTCTCTTAAAGCTATTTTCTACATGTGCTGACATCTATCTTTGCATAAAATAGGTACCACAGGTCCAAGAAAAATCTCTTGAGCAAGAGTTACTTGTTCTGAGAGAAGAGCTCAGCCAGGCACAAAGGAAATTGTATGAAATGGAGGAAGTGAAGGCCAGTGAATACCAGGGAGAATCTGATAAAATAGGGAGAAGAGATTTTATTCCAAAACTGCATGACTGTCAGGAAGTGAGCACCCAGACAGAAAGAGAAGAGGATGATCTTAAAATGCAACTGGAAAATCTCCAGAACGAGAGAGACCAGCTAAGAGAAACTGTACAGGAGACAATACGAAAGGTAATAAAAATAGTCCTGTTCCTGTAGGATAATAGCTTTAGTAAACTTCTGCCTTAGGTTTTGGAAGCGTTGTTCAGGTGTTAATGTACTTCAATTGTGTCCAAAGAATTCAGAGATGCAGAAGGAGTTGCAGTGTACTCACAGATCTCTTGGACAACATCAGGAGACTATTGTGGAGCTGAAAGAAAACATTTCAGAGAAAGAAAATCAACTCTCGAAAGCGCAAGAGGCATTGAAGGAACAAACTGATGAACTGCAGCAGAAGGTCAGAAAGAGTTTTATCAAGTAAACTAAAAATTCCATCATGTATGGCAGCCCATGTCTTCTGCAGGCTTCAGTTTGCAGGGGGTCCAGGAAATGTAAATAATGAAACTTAACTGATAGTTTTTACTTTCTTTTTTTCTTGCCCTGTACTACTTCTCAAAAGAATTCCATGAAAACAGAGGCAAGGAAAGGATGATTAAATGCAGTTTGACCTGCAACCTACCACCCTTATTTATAACTAAATATGTCTTAGTGCTGAATGACAGAATTTTTTTTGCCATCAATACTGCACTTTGAACCTCAATGTGTTTTCCCAGTCTTAAATTTTTTAAAAATTTTAATAATGTATTTTAGCTATGTAGCCCCGAAAAGCCTTGAGCAACTTTAAGGCAGTTTAGCTCATGCTTTACTTGTTGCACTATTAGAAATTTCCTATCTACTTATTATTTCATGTCTTAAGCTTTTAGGTTTTTAGGGTTCATTCTTACGTGTGTAATGTCTTCCATCTGGTGTGGATACAGCAATGGAGACATTTTTATGGAATTAGAATGGCCTGTAGGTTTTCCCACATTCACTTTTGACTCTCAATGAGAGAGAAGCACTGAAATTTTGTTGACTTTTAAGAAAACCGTTATATTGGTTTTGCTAATTATAGCAGGAAACTAATGGACATGTCTTCTGTATGATAATCCTGTTATAACAACCCATATGTGCAAATAAAACTTATGAAATATGATCGGATAACCTTCTCCTCAGATCAGAACCTGATTAGTGGGACAAGAAAATTTAGGAACTTGGAATGTTACTGGTTGGTTTCTCTCCAAACTATCAAATTAGTTGTACCCACACTACAGATGATTAGAAATATTAATACTGGGTTTGATTTGTTCTTTCAGCTCACTGAAGTAACTGAAAGGCTGACTCATGTCTCATCTGAATATGGCAAGCTACTGGCAGAAAAAGAACAAATTGAAAGGACAATGAATGAGCAAGTTTGTCAGCAGCTTGAGAAAATCACTGTACTTAGTAAGGAGAAAGATGAGCTGCAACAAATGGTGGAGACTTGTAAAGAAAGGGAAGAACATTTGTTAAAGGTCCAGAGACGGTCAGAGATTTTGGAGGACAGCCTTACAAGCAAGGTGAAGGGGTTTGGGGTTTAGTAGTTACTTTGTCTTCTGATGTTTTATTACTGATGTGCTAAACTTTTGTTGAACACAAAGCCTGTTTAAATTTTAGTTCCCAGCATGTCATTTTTATGCTTGCTTTGCACACTTTCTATATAACAGGTAAAGTTTGAGAGTCTTGCACTCAGCTCTTGCCAATTCAGTCTTTTTTCAGTCTTCACTCCTTAGACTTTCACCTGTCAAACTGTTCCTTTGTTTATCAGGAAGTATGGTTGAGGATTGCTTCAGATTAGGAAATGTCACTGTTCATTAGAGCAAATATAAATCCAATGTCCATCTTTTATGCTTATCTTCTGTTTCTTTTAATTTTCTTGCGATATGGACATATGTTGACTGCCTTTTCATTTGCTTTCTTGCTTTACAGAACACTAAAGTTGACTAAGAGTTCTCTGGGTGTCAGGCTACTCCTTTTCTTTAGAATTTCTTTTTCTGAGTTATTAGAACAGCAAAATTATTTTTAAACTTCTCTCGCTGTTAATGTGAATTTTAGTTATTGGAAATTGTGTTCTTTGTATTTGACAAAACTGATCTGAGTACTTCATAGCAGAGTATTCAGACCACGGCTATCAAATTGCAATTGTAATTTCTTTCTTTTTCTCCACTATTTATTGTAGATTCAACAGTTAACTGACACACTAAATAGTGTATCATGTGAAAAAGACCAGTTATTAGCTGAAAGAACTAGTCACTCTTTCCAACTTAGAGAACAAATTGCATCAGTTAATCGAGAAAAAGATGAGCTACAAAAACTTCTTCAGGAACAAATTGCATCAGTTAATCGAGAAAAAGATGAGCTACAAAAACTTCTTCAGGAACAAATTGCATCAGTTAATCGAGAAAAAGATGAGCTACAAAAACTTCTTCAGGACGTCAGGACTGAGCGGGACCAGCTCAAGACAGAATTGCAAAGAAATTGTGAGATGGTGGGTGTTGCAATTTGCATATCTAAGTTACTCATAAATTCTCTTCTTGAATGGTACTTAAATATGTCTGGCTTTATTTTAGTGTGTTGAAACAAATGCAAAACTGGAACGTGCTTTAGACCAACTGAAGCAGAGAAACCTGAATGATATGTCCATTCAGGTAAACTCAGTGGTTATTGCAGAGCAGGTGGCTGATGACAGCCTGAAGGAAAAAAGCTTGAACATTAAGGTAAACTTATTTCTCTGATTCTTCTAAGGATCCATGTAAAATCTTAATGCCACTTGTCCTGGAGCATAAACCTCTTGTATTACGTATAAAATGGTTTGCATATCTTGCTGAGCTGCAAACCATGGGATCAGTTGATTTGCTGTTGCTGTTCAGTGTTTGCACATCTTGTCTCAACTGAAAAGTTCGATTTAATGTTCACAGAACATCTTACTTGCTTTCATTACTGTCCAGTAACCCCAATTTTTTGCAAAATCTCCCCCAAATGCTCCCTTCCATTACTCCCCATCAAATAATAAATTGGCTTCAAATAAATTAACTCCTGTAAATCCTCAGACCTTTTGTTGGTTTACTATCCTGAGTACACTTTCACACAGATATGAGAAATACTATTAACCTACTGAAAGCCAAAATAAACCAGAATTTATGAATTTTAAAGTACGGTAGTATTGTACTGCAGACTATATGTCTGTGCAGCAGATTCAGGCATTATTCTGTATGTGCTAGAGGAGCCCTGAGTGCTGCTTCAGTTAACGACAACAGTGGTAAAGAACCAAATTGCAAAAATCAATCACATGTAGCTTTCTCCATCTCTATCCTAGATCAGCAGTAGGGAGCTAATAATGAGGGAAGTAATATCAATTGATCCCTTTTAACGGCACTCTTCCCTTTGACTTCTGTAATAGGTGGAATCTTGTGTACCTCTTTCTTGTACAGTTTTCTCAAGTATCTAGTACTTGCTCTTGTTGGATGCAGAGCATATGTCAGTTCCAGTGTTTTTACTGTGGGGTAAAAGAGTTAAAACTGGTGAATCCTGGTTCTTTCAATTAGCAATGAACGATGGAGAGAGTATGCCAAAGGAGTTTTATGCTTTAAAATGTATAATGTAGCTTGAGAGGCAATACTTGAGTTGCCCTCTACTGGGGAGTACCTTCAAGCCTGTTGCATTCCTCACCCTGTTCGCTGCTTGATCACACCTTTCTTTTTATGGCAAAGTGCTAGGAACAATTTTATGATCTCTTTCCTTTGAGAAAGGACCAAGTAAATAATGTGGGAGCCCACCCTGACACAAGGCCAGCTGACAAACTTGTGAACAGGCAACAATTTTATTTGAGGCCTGATCTACAAGTCTGGATGTGGCTGGGCGATCTAAACCACGAAAATAATTTGAGTTTGTGAAATGACTTGCTGGGAGACTAAGAAATTTTCTGCTTTTGTCCCTAGCGTAGTGTTTCTATCTTATCCCTGTGGCAAGTCAAAACTGAAGTCTTAGTCCTATTAACTTTTCTGTTGTAAAACCAATACATACTGTACAGGTTAGTTCTGGAGTCTGGTCGTTTATTTTAAGCTTCTGTTTATAGCTAATCACACTTTCCCTTATTGTGAATGAATTAATTTGTTTCACTTGCATTTAGGAGCTTCTTGAGAAATTCTCAAATATGGGGAAGAGGTGTGAATGCCTCTCTACAGTGTCTCTTAAGCTGAAGAGTGAACTGAATAGTCAGAAAGCACTGATAGCTGTGATACTGCCTCAGCTTTCCTTGGTACAGAGTAAACAAGTCAAAAGACTTCAAACTGAAAATGAGAAACTAAACGGTCATCTCCAGAGTTTATTGAACAAACTGAAGGTACCAAGATGTGGATGCTTCATATTGCTTGAGTTTGGTTCTTTTTTCTCAATATTGACAGCCAGGATTTTATGTACTATAGCTTTGATTTTTGTGAATCCATATATTGTAGAAAACAAGCTGATAGAAGTAAATGCTTTACAATCTTAGACAACTGGCACTGCGTAGTTATGTTAATCAATCTTAGTTTTTGACTATAGTTCAGCTGCTTTGCACAGTATTATTTCATTAATATTATTCCATTTTAATTAGGAATTGAAATTTTTTTCTGTACTCCATAAATCAAATTATAGATGACTTATAGTGTATTTCTTTGTGGGAGAAAGAGATGTGCAAATTGTATTGGAGATGCACGTTTACTCTGTAAAACTAGCCAAGTAGTTTGATTTTATAGTCTTGCAGACCTTCCCCAAATTGGAATCAGTTTCTTCATTGAACTATAATTATCAGAAAAAAGTTAAGGTTAATTGGGAGAGTATTCCTGTTGTCATATGCAGAAGTACCGTAAATGATAATGTTTTTTCTGTTTCTTTATTTACCATGAAATATTAAGGGTTGGGGGTTTGTTGGTTGGGGGAGGGAAACATGGATGGGCCTGGGGAGAGAGGGCAAGGTTCATGTCCAGTTTACAAAAAACACTGGACATGATCTTAAGAGTCAGTCATGTCTATAGATATCCATTAACTAAGCAGCTGAACTAATAATCCAAATAGCCTTATTTTATAACTTCGAGTAGGGGTTTTAGGTTTGATTTTTTTCTTTTTTTTCCCCATAGATGGCTTTTAACTTTTTATGGTTAAAGATGTTTAAGACATTAAACTAGTCATCTCAACTAGAACAAAAATTTTAAATCATCACACTGATATTATTCTCATAGATCATCTGCACCTTTCATAACTCTAAGAGGAAATAAATATTCCAAAAATTAGTTTGCTTTTCAAAGTTGAGATTCATGGAAGGCTGTCTGGAGCTTTTTAGACTTTTTGGCCTTTTTAGGAGTCTACGAGAAACGGTATACTTGAAAAATGCTGTCTTGGCTAAAAGTCTTATATGCCATTGCTATAAAACACATGAATCTAATTTTCTTAGTCATGTGTTAATTATTCTGGACACCTGCAGGCTTGGAGAGTAAATAGAATAAATTGTAAAATATGGAATTTTAGCTGGATGCAGGGTACTGTTTTAAGCATGCTCACTGATACATCCTGTGCTTCTACAACAGTTTATGTTCAGTCGTGTTTGCACAAAGAAAAGAGACTATCATACTACTGTTAACAAATATAAAATGGAATTGCTTGAGGAAAAGAGAAGACAAGATCATCTACAAGCCGAGATTCAGTATCTCAGGAAGATTCATTTGAACCAGAATGAAATACCGTCTCAAGAATTAAACATCAGTGAAGGGCTGCAGAGTTTCCACTTGGATGCAGAGGTAATATTTGAAAAAAATTCAGATATTAAAGACTTCATCTTTCAAGCCGTGGGGTGCTGTGGTGGTGCTCATCTAATGGCATTAGGTTTATCTGGTTGATGATTTAGATAAGGGGATTGAGTCCATCAGCAGCAGATTTGCAGATGACACTAAGCTAGGGGGGAGTGTCGATCAGCTGGAAGGCAAGAGGGCTCTGCAGAGGGACCTGGACAGGTTGGAGAGTTGGGCTGGTTCCAACAGAATGAGGTTCAACCCAAGTGCTGGGTCCTGCACTTTGGCCACAACAACCCCCTGCAGCGCTACAGGCTGGGGACAGAGTGGCTGGAGAGCAGTCAGGCAGAGAGGGACCTGGGAGTTTGGATTGACAGGAAGCTGAACATGAGCCAGCAGTGTGCCCAGGTGGCCAGGAAGGCCAATGGCATCCTGGCCTGGATCAGGAACAGTGTGGCCAGCAGGAGCAGGGAAGTGATCCTTCCCCTGGACTCAGCACTGGTGAGGCCACACCTGGAGTACTGTGTCCAGTTCTGGGACCCTCAGTTCAGGAAGGACATTGAGGTGCTGGAGCCGGTCCAGAGGAGGGCAACAAGGCTGGTGAAGGGACTCGAGGACAAGTCCTGTGAGGAGAGGCTGAGGGAGCTGGGGTTGTTCAGCCTGGAGAAGAGGAGGCTCAGGGGAGACCTCATCACTCTCTACAACTCCCTGAAAGGAGGTTGTAGCCAGGTGGGGGTTGGTCTCTTTTCCCAGGCAACTATCAGCAAGACAAGAGGGCACGGTCTCAAGTTGTGCCAGGGAGGTTTAGGTTAGATATTAGAAAGAATTTCTTTACAGAGAGGGTGGTCAGACATTGGAATGGGCTGCCCAGGGAAGTAGTTGGATTCTCCGTCCCTGGAGATTTTTAAAAAGAGACTGCATGTGGCACTAAGTGCCATGGTCTAGTAACCATGGCAGTGTTGGATCAAGGGTTGGACTTGATGATCTCGGCGGTCCCTTCCAACCCAGCTGATTCTATGATTCTATGATCTGTTAAAACTTCACCTAAGGAGGATGAAGGAATTGTGTTAGTATTTTTTTATGCTACTAGATTCCGTTTTGTAAAGTGGCTGAAAATAAAATTAATAGGTTAGAAAATAGTGGGAATGTTATTTACTTATTTGCCCTGTAAAATACGTACTGCCTAGTACCAAGATGACTTCTAAAACAATGAAATCAACTTTTACTTTTTCCCCTTCCCACCTGCCCCAGCAATTGTCTTCTCATTTTCCCAGTAGGGTGTAATGTATAGCAAAACTCCTTTTATATGATAAATAGATGCTAAAACAGACTTCCTGCTGTATTGATAGCCAAGAGGACAGAATGTATATTTAGACATATGGTTATCAAAGTGATATTTAAATTTTAATTCCCTTTTTTAAGAGCATTCTCAAAGACGTATCAGAAATGGAAAGTGAACTTCTCTGTATAGAGGCAGAATTACAGCAGCAAGAAAGTGCTAGAAAAGAAACAGTACAGTTCTGGGAAGCTTGTTCAGGAACTCACTGTAATGCAGAGGAACTGGAAGAAGAGTTAAAGAAAGATACTGAAAGGCTTTTGCAAGTCATTAACTTCTGGACTCCTAAAGTAAAGGTAAAATTAAATGTTATAGAATCAGAAATGTATTTGGTATAAGCAGTCTGTAAATGCCTAATCTGATTGAAAACAAAACATACAAAGGCTCTTGAATGATTATTCATTTATTATCAGCACTTACTATACTCTTACTTTACTATAAAAATCTTCTAAGTACTCTTACATCTTAGAGATTTCCTCATGCATCCAAACCTGGAAACTTGCTTTCTGGTCGTCTTAATCTGAATTCTGGAAACTGTAAGTTCAAAATCGTTATATAGCTTTGCTTGCCAAACTTCATCAATGCTACTTTAGCCATTTTTAAAACTCAATTGTAATTCATATTACACTTTTCTAATTTCAAAAAGTCAAGTTGTTCTAGAGATAGGGCAGCCTTCCTTTCTCTTTTCTTTCTTCTTACGTCTTGCCCTCTTTGGAAAATAAGACAGCATTTTTCAGGGTTAAGTGCATCATGAGCGGATTTCATGAGATTTCATCTTCCTGATTAAATGTTAAGTTTAGCCTATTTTAAAAAGTTTCTTCTGTAGAATCAATAGCCAGTCTTGATTTCATCAGGATTTCCCAGTGTTGGCAAGTTTTTTGGAAAAAAGCTTGTGGATCAAAGCTTTTAACAAACAAACAAAAATCTCGTATATTTGTAATTTCCTGACAAGTGTGAAGCTTTTCTTTGTCTGACGTATTAAATATATGGGTTTCTAGAATAGCCCAATGTGTATTTTTTCTCTAAAACGGTTTAAATTTCTTCAGTCAGTGACTATGTTCTAGCAAAAAATTCTGAATAGTTGTGTTTCTTTCTGTTACTGATATTCAAGAAGTCTTTCTAATATATTCCTTTGTTTCTGTAATAGTGCTTGAGTTAACACAGAAACACTGGTAATCCTGCAATGTACTATCATCTTCTCTTTTGGAAACGAAACCGTTCTTATAAATGTTACTGATTACATTTCTGATAGCAAGCATTTTCAAATGGGACACTGAAACAAGAATGTGAAATTAATACAGGCCAAGATACTTCCTGTTTTTTTACTTGCCTTATTTCTAGCTGATTCAGAAATTATTTAAAATTTTATCTCTATGACGCTACTGCAGATGCTCCTTCAGCTTTCTTCAGAACTGGATGCCAGAACTTCCAATGACAGTAAAAATGCTGATGTTGAATTGAAACAGAGAAAAGAGAAAAATGAAGAGTTGCTTCAGGATCTAAACACTCTAAAAGAAAAACTGGCCCCTGATAGCTCTGCCAGTCTCATGTTAAAAGAAGAAAACTATAGGCTTCATAATAAATTAAAGGCTGCAGAACAAGATGTAAAGGTACTAATGCTTGTTTCTAAGGAAAACTTCTTTGATGCTTGCTTTCTGAGTGAGAGTACTCCAAAATGAAAATAAAGATTGATTGGCAACTATAAATCTGTGCCACCATAATATGTTAGCCCAGAGTGTACATTTTAGTAGCTTTTTTATTTTCAAGTTTGAGCTCTTGCCTATAATGTGAGTATTTTAATTACCTGATTTCTGTACACAAATAGATGTCAGTTTAGAAATTCATATTACATGTTTTCATTTGGTTTTGAAGTATTGATTTTAGTAGTGTGATACTCTGGATGCTTCCTGTAAGTACATGGTATTCACTATGTCAAATGCAAAGCTGGAGAAAAGCTCTCTCTAATCATAGGAATTGAGGACTCATTTTCTCTTTCCTAGGATTTTTGTCACAGTTACCCTTCTTCAAAACCTTTTTTTCTTTTCTTAGACTTGAGTGTTCCAGACTGTTAAAAGGGGACACAAAATAATGATCTAGACACAAAGAGTTGCCATTGAGCCTGTAGTGTTGGATTTTTTTTGTGTTTTGGGTTTTTTGGTTTTGCTAAGAATATGACTGTGTGCTGTTACAGCTACTGTCTCTTGACATAACTACTCATAACTGATTGATATATTTCAATAGGCTATGGAAGTAAAAATTCAGAAGTTGGAAAATGTAATAAATGAAGTAGGAGAAAATGTCAAAGAGAAAGATGACAGAATAAACAAGTTACAAGCACAGATAAGTATAAAAACAGAGACAAGTGAGCTCACCCAATTGCAAGCCAAACTGAATGAGATGGATAAGTGCCTCAGGACTGCCTTAACAGAGAATCAGAGTCTTCAGGTATGAGCAAAATACTTTACTATTCTCATTTTCCTCTGATGAAAGAAAACAAGCATGCTTGAGAACAGCTGTAATGAGACATAGTGCTCTAAAGTCAACATATTGTTCTGTATGGCATTCCTAGAGTAAAACACTCTACTTGCATATTTAGCATTGCAGTTTCATATTCTACCAGCACAACCTTCAGAGGCAAAATTTACAACCCATATTATAATATTAGAAGGTAAATTTATCTGTAATGCATTTGTGAAACGTTCTAAAAAAATTTAAAACTTTTAAACTGAAGCCTGATCTGCTTTTTCAATGTAATACATTTGCACGCTAGTCCAAAATTCCCAGACTTACACCTGTGCAGAAGTCAGCAAAACTTGCTAAAATATGATTGCATGTAATACATGAGAGTAGGATACCAACTGCTACTATAGTGCTAGTTGGTAATGCTGGCCACCTTAGTGAAAATAACTTCCTGCTCCCATTCTTGTCCTGCAAAATCTAGCAGATCATAGTAAAGATACAAGGTAAACAACCCTTAATTCCATTGTTAAGTAACAAGCCTTTCTTTGTACTAAATATTTTCATTTCAGGCAAAATTAGATAAAGGTTCTGAGTTGTACAAAGAAGAAATTGATCATCTCAAAACACAATTGGTAAAATGTGATATGGAAAGAATGAAACAATCCAACTTTTTTGAAATGAAGTAAGTTCAAATTTTATGTTGCTACTTTGTTCTTAGCTTCTACTTCTCTATGTTCCCACATAATAAGAAGTAAGCATTAAGCTTTAGCTGTCACAGGGTTTTATTGTGTCTAGATTCCAGAGAAGGCAAAATGTATATGCACCTTAGGTTGCTTACACAACTCCTTCCCTATACACCCACCAAAATTTCTCAACCAACCATGTTCAGCCATAACTGAAATAACTGTTCTGACAAAAGAAGGCAAGGGGAAAGCAGTAATTGAAAGCTTTCTCTAATTCACTAGAGAGAGGGGATACGCAGAGAATAATTAGTCCAACTTTTGGATTTGTGCACTTTACCTAAAATCTAACTGACAACCAGGTTTATGTAGTTCTTCTTGTATAACTTGGGTATTTCTTGTATTTGATAGCTCATTGGAATTCAAATTAGCCCTTCTGCAACTGTAATAACTATTAAACTGAGGTTTTCTGGTTTTGGTTTTTTCCCTCCCTTCCTGCCTCATAGACTTGCTAATTATAAAGCTCTGTCAGAACACCGAGAACAAGAGTTAACAAAGCTAAAAGAAGAACTCAGAAGAGCACACCAAGACCAAGATGTTACTGGTAAATTCAAGATAAATAGAAGGGACTCTTGACATTACGTTTTAAGGTTATATGGTTAAAGACGAGGTTGAGGTGCAGGCCTTGTATCTCAAAGGCTATGAGGAGAACTGGGTGCATTGAAAGATGAGATGGAAAGCAGACTACATTAGCTCCAGATACACTACATTAGAATGACAGCAGTTCTTGTGTTTACTTCTCTGGCCACATTTGCACTTGTGGAGAGACAAGCTGCTGTGGTCGTAGCTCACATTGCCATTTTTTCCTTGACTGACTGCACATACAAATAGCTAGTTCTAGTCATAGTTATGACATACCTGAAACAAACTATTTTAATTCTAAATGACCCAATGAAGAATCTTATGTTTCTTAGTATCTCCCTGGCAGTGGGAATATTGGGAGGTGTGTTTGTGTAGAAAAAAGAATAGCTGTTGTAATAGCACTTGTAACCTAGGGAGGTTTTACATATAGGACCACAAGAATGAATAGGCTAAAAAGTATATTGAGTTGGTTTTAAGCCCTGTCCAAACAACGCACACACATCTCTATAAAATTGTTTTTCTAGTGCTGAAAGAAGCAGCTCCTCAGGAATCCCAAATACCCCTTACTTGTGGTGGTGGCAGTGGTATTGTGCAGAGCACACAAATACTCGTGCTAAAATCTGAGCAAGCTAAGATACAGAAAGAAAACTTGCACCTGAAGAAACAAAATGACCTTCTACTAAGGTAAGTGTAAAGCTGACTGGCAAAATGTCAAAACATTTGTTGTATTTAACCATGCATGTCATTAGTGTTTCTTTCTGGGACACCTATAGAAGTAACTAATCATTAATTTGAAATTTGCTAGATTTTTTCACTTCATAAATTTTTACTTAAAGCCAGTGATTTATGGTTTATAAAGCCATAAATGGCTTTGGAACTTTAAATTGCTTATTTTCATAAGAATCTCTTAAATGTTGGAAGATACACTTGAATTGTATGCTGGGAGGAATTTTAGCTTAAAAAAATAAAAAAAAATTTCCTCTGAAAGATACACAACTATTGCATTGCCATGTCTGTAGTATGTCATCTGAAAATATAGGAACTGTCTGGTGTTCCAGAATTTTTCCTTAAAGGAACTGTGTTTTGTTTTTTTTATTCTTAATTAAATGCTGGGGTTTTTTTCTTTACAGTAATGAGCGTCAGCTGAAAGAGGAACTCAGGAAATGGAAAGAAAGAGCACTAAAATGGAGAGAACGATCCTCAAGAGAAAATACTCGAGAGACAATACGACAGTCTCCAAAAAAGACAGTATCATATTTCTTTAAAGAACAAATGCTTTCGCCCTCCAAGGAACCTGTTTCTCAGGAAATTGTGACTCAGGACCTATCAAAACCTCTGCCACTGAGTTGTCCAACAAATTTCTTTGATAATTCCAACCTCGGTATGCTAACAGGTATGTAACATAGTGGTGTTGTCCTGTAAAGATTTGGAGAGGAGAAATGTAAGGGATAGTCTGAGTTGAGGGTAAATGCTCTGTACTTATATATTCAGACCTGAAACTTGCACGATAACACAGTTTCCCTGAATGGTTAGTCAGCTGACTGTTGAAAAGCTGACCATGTGAGTTGTGAGGCTATATATGCTCTACATAACAGAAATATTTAAATGAATCATTCACCTCCTGAAGATTATACAAACTTCTTTCTTTTCTGCAGTCAAAGTGATGACTGATTTTTAAAAGTGAATCAGCAAAATATCATTTTTAGATAATGATGCTCTAAAATGTTTAACTTTATATTGGTTAATCACAGACTTCTGGTAAAATTACTGAAAGTTAATGGCTGGTTGACTTTTTTTGAGATGGTAGGCTTTAGTCTTTGGTGTTGCATCTGCCACACTGCCTGGCTCCAGCTGCAGTAATAGCAGTTTTGATGGTGACTTCAGTTCCTTAGCTCCACTCCTGATTTCTTATATCTGGCCTGGTGACTTCTGGGGAAGTCACCTCCTAGTGACCACTCTCCTAGTGGTCTCTGCTAGTGTATTAATGCTACTGCCCTCATCATTACACTGCTTCCCCCAACTTTCAGAAGGCCCCAGCAGACATGTTGAAGAGTTAACCCATTTTTGAGGTATCACTAGGAGACTCTCAGAGAGAACATGACTCATTGCTGTTTTTGTGATGGCCAACTTGGTAATAGTACAGAGTTCCTCACAACACAAAGCTACTCAGGGGCAAACTTTGATAGTTGACATACAAAACACTAGTCAAGATTAAATCACTGTATTCCTACAGCTTGTCTAATTGAGAAAGGCTTTAATGTTCTTGTCTTCTGTACAGATACGTGTCCTGCGGCCACACAGTCCACAGAAGAACATCTTAAGCACTTGTTTGGGACTTCAGACAAAGATAAGGCCCCTGATTGTAGCACCCAGTAAAGGTGCTGTGTTGGAAGCTGCCTTTGCAGTGGCTACAGCCAGAATCTGCATATACAAAAGATAATTGCTTCAGATTAAAAGCCATCAGCCTCTTCCATCCTTGCTGTCTTGGAGTTGCTACTTCCCACGATTGGGAAACTGGAATTTGAGGTCAAAAATGGAAAAGTAGTCATGATGTCCACAACCTGCTTATCTGATGATGTTCTACTTTGGTGTTTTGATGTTGTGGGGGGTTTTGATGGCAAAGAAAGAAAAGATACTATATTGAAGAAAAAAATGGAAATGGATCATAAACTAACCTACTGTGAAAGTTCTCAGTCTTAAACTTTTCATTCTGTCATTCCTAAAACAGCCCTCTTCTGGACGGTTGATATTTGTATCTTCTGATTGCTGTTGACTTGGAAAGAAATATTCTTTTTGTTTCTCAGCATGTGGTTTTTATACCATGCTTTCTCTAAGTCCCCAGAAACTGCATTTTCACTACAATCTGCAACTGAAGTTACTAATTTTCTGTTTATAGAGCACACAATCAGGGTTCCTCTTAAACTCCTTAGAATGTTTCTGCAGCTCAACCAATTATGATACCAAGAGTAACTTTGAATTTTGGACCATCTTTCAATATATCTGTTTGAAGTTATGTATTGGAGGTTTTTTTTAATAGTAAGCAATGGACTTAATGCTCTTCTGCTACTCTTGTGAATTAAATGTAGACCAGATCATTCGTGCAAGATGGACTCTCTTACTAGCCTACTTATCTGTATTGTGAGAATGTTGTTATGTATGTTTTATATAAGAAAGTTTGACAATAAACTTTCATGTGTTAAGTATTTAAAGTTTTTTCTGTTGTTCAGTTCACTTGTGGTATGATCCAGGGATGTTGATTACAATATTCAGTGTCTAAAGGCTATTTTTTATACTAATCTCATCACTTCCATCATTATTATGCTTCTTGTCTCTGATCTCTATAATTTTTTGCAGCAATTACTTGTGCAGAAGCTTACTATTGCACAAGTCTGTCAGTGGAATTTTGTTTAATTCTTTCTGAGTCTCTCTCTGTCAGGAAATGGTTGAAGTCTAAAACATAGATCCTCCTCTCTTTCCTGCCCCCACACCCTCTACTGCCAACTAAATAGGAATTTGGCATTCAAAGCCTTGGATCAACTCCATTAAAAATGAAACCATTATTATGAGATAAGAAAGTCGTATCTAAGAAAGATAACTGCATCAAAAGCATCATCCTTATTTTAAAGGAATAAAGCTCTCAGTGATGCTCAGTCTCATAAGTATTCCATTTTGGGTCACCCAAAGTGATAAGCAAATGGCTACGTTGACACGTTCCTGGGCGTTCAGCAGTTACTGGAATTGGAAGAGTCACACAGGGATTATTTACCTAATGGAGGTACTTCAGAGATCTGTAATAAAGAACCAACTATCCATTTCCCTTGAGTAGCTGAAAACTGCCAACTGTGGTAACTACTAAGAAATTGCAAGCATTTATCTCTCAAGCTCTGACCTGTAACATGCTTTGGGAAGCATTTGAAGATATTACTAGCCAAAAATACACAGATTCTAAATACCATTATGGAGTTCAGAACTGAAATGTCTTCTTTCTGACCACAGCCATAGGCAGGCAAGAGCAATTTATTTTCTTACAGGGACAAATGCAAAGTGCTGATGTATTTGTCGCAGGTTTTTTGTTTAGGGGTTGGTTGGAGGATTTTTTGGGTTGGGTTGGGGTTTTTTTTATTTTCCACTATGATTGAAAGATACTTCCTTCGAGTACCAGCATTTTGGTGTTCTAATAAATGAATTAAACTGTCTTTTTTTTCTTCCAGAAGGGAAAAAGGTGTGTATATATATATGAGAGCTACCTCTTTCATATACAATTTCCAGGGGTTTTTTTGTTAATTACTGCTTGTTTGGAACATTTCTAGATTTGGAGATTTTTCTGGTGATGGAGCAAAAAAAAACCAGAAGCTTATTGCAACAGGTCTGTGTCTGCATTCAGAGGCAAAACCTTAGGGACAGAAAGATAAATGCTTTTAGAAAACAGTCATTAAAGATTTTATTTACTGGGGAGCTGATTTAGACAGCCCTAGAAAGCTATCATAGTTTAGCAGAAAGACAGGATAAACTGAACTTTTGTGTATGTGTGTCCCAGTTTATCCACAGAAGGGCTTTTCTGAGGACAAACTAACTAAAGGTTAGGCAGGACACCAAATTTCTTAATATTATCAGGGTAAGCTTTATGTCTGGTGTGAACTTCTCACTAAATTACTTTGTCCTAGAATTTTCCAGTCTGATGATATTAACTCTGCTTTAACAAATGTAAGTTAAACCACTAGATACCAAAGAAAAGTTCATAAATCACCAGTTTAACAATAGTTGGCACGATTAATATTTTCATTGTTGTCCTAGTTTGGAATTTGATAGCTTATATTGCTAAAGAGAGATTGCTTGGAAAAACAGGTTTGTGGCCTTTTTTTGTGGGAATCCTGTTGACCTCTTGAATTCCTTAGGGGAAAGAGAAAGCTAATGCTGGCAATCCTTTTCTGTCCTTCCCTTTGCAGGAGAAAAACCGCACTTTTAAAATCTTAGGTTTCACTAGATGGCAGCATCTCAGTGTTTCAACAGGAAATTACGTTCATATAGGAAACACAAATACCAACAAGCACAGTAAAAAACTTGTAGAACTTCCTTTTGTACAAAGGTCAGTAACGGAGCAGTTTTAGATCTCTTGGTGAGTGACTATATTACTGTTTATTTGTAAGTGCTTCATAGAGTCTGTGACAAATGTTGGTAAAACCTGATTGCTGTATTGAAAAATGTATTTATAGTGCATTTTGCTTCCAATGTGTTACGGTGATTAGGGGAAGTAATTGAACTGATGAGGTGGCTTTTGGAAAGAAAAGAATTATTCAGTTACATTGTTTCAGAAGTCTGATTTGTTGAACCTGTAACCTTCAGGAAAACAGTTTTGCTCCAACTTTTGTCAGGAAAAACATCTGACAAAACAATGTCTCTCTGATGCAAATAAGAGAAATTAATAATCTGACTTAAGACGTAGAACACTAAATTTGATTTGGTAATCTGAGTCACAGCATGGATTTGAGCTTCTGTAGAATATAGCATTGGCTGCTAACATAAGGAAGATTAAGGTACCTTTATCTTAACTTCCCAGTGAAGAACTTGGTGTGTTGGTTTCACGTGTATATTTTTATGTGTATATTCTTACGACACCTTTCTACATTCATAGCTACATAGACAAAGTTTGCTCAGAGGACTATAAAACTGCAGAAAATTTTACTTATAGGGAACCCACTTAAGAAACTCCAAATACTGCACTCTGACTGGAACACAGTGACCTTACTTTTTAGGCAGTTCTTTGAAACATCCTACTAAGTCATTTTCTCCTTAAATAACAAAAAATCCACAGAAGTGAGGTGATGACACTTGCTTTCACTTGTTTGTCTGCAACTTTGCGTGCTTTATTTCTTTAAATCTAACGTAGCATATGAATGTGTGCACTGTGGCAGAATAGAGCTGTATTTTGCCTTTTGGCTGCTACACAATGACTAAGGCAGAAACTCCTAAAAGTTCCCTGCCACTTGCCCCAGGCATGCTCCGTGGTTCCTTGAGAACAAGCAATGCCAGAGAGGGGAAAAAAGACAGCTTCATTCCCCTCCTGCCTTCCTGCTTCGTTGGAACTGGGAATCTGCTGTGCTGAAAGACTCTGAAGACAATTCAGAGCAGATACCAAGACCAGGGTATCGTGTGGAATTTATTGCAGTATAGGAAGTTGAAGTGTTTGTAGTTTGAGAGAAACAGGAGGAAGACCTACTTTCTAAGTACACAATGGGCAGTGGAAACACTAGATTACAAGCTATTGTTATAATGAAGCCTAACTCCTGAGATCAAATGCCTTTTGGGTTTGTTTTTCTTTGAGGTCCTTATATATAATTAATTAAAAAAAATGAGGAAAAAAAAGAAGGTTGAGGCAGTCGTGCCCCTCAGAACCCTGAGGGTTGTGCTGCAGCCAAAAAGGACAACTGTGATGGCAGAGGTACACTCTGGATCACGTCTAGTTTTTGGAATGTACTTGCATCTGATTCCCGGGGGTTGGTGTTGGTTCATGTTTTTGTTAAAGTTTCTGTGACATCTCCTGTCTGCACAGGTGGGCGCCATGGGTCGGCTGGATGGGAAGATCATCCTGCTGTCTGCGGCAGCACAGGGCATCGGGCGAGCAGCTGCTATAGTGAGTTGGAAAATGTTTATTCTCCTGTGCCTAAGCGAGGTCTCTAATGCTAGCTTGTCTAAAAACACCTGCACCAAACCTGTTCTTGAATTAATAAACTGTAGATGAAGCTAGAACTATGCACTGAAAAAATTGGGGAATAATGTATCCACTATACTGTATCATGCAGGCTTTGTGCTGTTTGAATTTCTGAAAATCTCAGCTCTGAGTGGAGATGTTAAATAAGGATAAGAGCAAGATTTGAGAACAGCTGCAACTGCTTTTTTAACAATATATGGTTGGTACTTTGGTTTTGACCTGTCTGGCATGGGAGGCCCTGCCGAAGGCATGTACCATCGCCAGCATAACTCGCAACTGCATAGGGGCACACAGGCTTCTTCCCCACTAAAATGGTTAGGGCAAGCCTTTCACTCCCTACTTTTCTGCCACCCCACTGTGTTACCAGAGATCTTCCCTTGCACTGCTCACCTGTGACACTCCATACAGGACTGCCCCGCCTGCCCTCCCGCTGGTCCGGGTACCCCCACGGTCTGTCTGACACCCTTCCTCTCCCCCAAATTGGACTGGCAAACCTCTTGCGCTCCCAAGTTCTTCCTCTCCTCTCCCACGAGGGCACAATCCCCGCCGGCAGTGAGCTGCTTTACGCTGACGACGATGCCCTCGTCGCCCATGCAGAAGTAGCTCTGCAGCATTTAACATCCTGCTTTGCTGTGGCTGCTGAGCTTTTTGGGCTGGAAGTCAGCTTGAAGAAGACAGAAGTTTTCTATCAGCCAGCATCTCAGGAAGACTTCCATCATCCTCATATCACCATTGGCGAATCAGAGCTCAAATCAGTCCAGCAGTTTGATTACCTAGGTAGCCTCATCTCCTTGGATGGTAAGATTCACAGAGAGATAGACAACAGGTTAGTAAAGGCATATAGTGCCTTTGGAAAGCTTCATAAAAGAGTTTGGCAAAATAAACACCTGAAGAAAAGTACAAAGATCAGTGTTTACAGAGCCACAGTGCTGTCTACTCTCTTATATGGATCCGAATCATGGGTCATCTACCGCCACCACCTGCGAGTCCTAGAACGCTTCCATCAACGCTGTCTCCGTACAATCCTAAACATCCCCTGGACAGATTATGTGACTAATACATCTGTTCTAGAACAGGCAGCAGTTACAAGTATTGAGCCATGTTACTGAGAACACAACTGCGTTGGGCAGGGCATGTCTCAAGGATGAAGGACCACCGCCTCCCTAAGATCTTGCTTTATGGTGAACTTGCCACCGGCTGCCGCAAGAGAGGAGCCCCAAAGAGAAGATACAAGGACTCCCTGAAACAACATCTCAGCCTTGGCCACAATGATCTTCACCGCTGGTCTACTCTGGCCTCCAATCAGGAGATCTGGAGACACACCATCTATAACGCTGCTGCTTCATTTGAGAACGCACGCAGGATCACCCTCGAAGAGAAAAGACAACACAGAAAGAATTGTGTCTTGCCGACAAGGAGTCTTTCTGCTGTGCCTTTTGCAACCGGACTTGTCTATCTCACAATGACCTCTTTAGCCACCAGCGCGCTTGTAGCAAATGTGGGTAGAGTCCCTCCCAAATCTTTGTTCGCAAAGCCTAGCCGTGGTGATGATAGTTGGTACTGTCTGTACCTTTAATCCAGTATCTCTGCTGCTTTGTTCTGGATGATAGAGTGAATATTTCGTGGTCTAAAGCTGAATACTGTGAAGATCCCCCATCGTAAAGCCAAGACATTTTATCTATATTCAGAGTTGACATAACCAAGTCTACATGATACTAACAAGAACAAAGCTACAACATTGTTCACAATGAGCAACTATAAGAAACCCTTTACAAATTTTGTTTGATTACTATTAAACAAAATTCAGTAGATATATTAACTTCCCACTTAGCTTGTAATTCTTTTGACCAGTTCTCCTGCTTACTTCCCTTTAACATAGCAAATAAAAAAACCAGTAATTTCAGTATCTCTGTAATGTAATCAACAATCCAGAAAAATCTCCTGTAAGTAGGATTTTTGCCAGACTAGTTAGTTTCTCGTGCATATGGTTAGAAGACAACTGCTGATCTTTGCTCTTACATAAATAGCTCAGTCAAGGAGTAGGTAATCTTCCTGATAATTTCAGTTTGTAAATACCCAACAAGCCATGGAAGGCTGGTATGTTTAATGCCACTATCCTCTTAAGCTACTTATTGAGACACTTATTTTTAAGAATTAGGGGCTACAGTCCAAGATGTTAGCATACTTTTGACACAGAGGTTACTTTGATAGCTGTTGATTTGCCAGTAATCACAATACAAAGAAAGTGGGTTTTGGGGGGACTATCAAGAATGAAGGAATATCTCTGGGTAAGTATCAAAGAGAAGTCATGCTGCTTTTAATATTGTTCTATTCCAATGATTTGGATGCAAAAGATTTTGTTAAAGTTTCAATACTACCATTCCCTTTTTATGGCTTCTGCCTTTAACTGTCAAATCCCATAACTTCATTTAAATCCAGCAATACAGACAATTCTAGCCCTACGTTCATAATGTGCTTACTAGTGCAGCTAATAAGGGCAAAAATAATATCAGTTGTCTTAGTCTGGTTACTGTTCTTACACTTTATTTATGGATTCCTTACTGTAAGGAGAAGAGATCTTAAGTCTGTCTTATATCATGCATAGTTACTCAATTGTCAGCAGGATGTGTAGTAATTCATGTCCAGTACTCCCTGACTTCTTGTGCCCATCATGAAAAGTGTAAGATCAGCTGCCTTTGGCCAACTTTTACGCCAAAAAGGACCTGAGAAGAAAACAGATTTTATTTCTGATAAGATCTTGAATATCTAAATATAAACTGCTTTTCTTGTATTCTTCAGGCCTTTGCTAAAGAAGGAGCCAAAGTCATTGCTACAGACATCAATGAGTCCAAGCTGAAAGAACTGGAGAAATATCCAGGTAAATGTAGGCATTAATTCAGCTCTTCCAAGTTTTGTTGTAGGCTGTCTGAAATGTAATTTGAGGACAGGAAAACTTCAAAAGGCCAGAAAAAAATGGCAAATATCCAAACTAATTCTTTACATGTTGGCATTGCTTCATTCTGTGGTGTGAAATGGCAGAGATTTAGCATGTAAAATTTTGCAACATCAGCATATCAGACAGACTATTATTCCAGGCATATGGAATAACTTTGAGTTTCTTGTGTCACAGAAGTTGATATTTGTTTCCCAGAATAGCACCCATTTCAGTTACCTTTTGGCATCACTAGGCTGATTGTCAAGTGCATCACTCTGGAAGGCATGGAATGCTTTTCTCTGATCACTAGAACATCCAGCTATACAAGAAGATAGATTTAGTGCCTTGCATTTCCATTTTCCATACTTGGCTATCCTTTTAATGCATTCCTTGCCATCTTGTAGAATTAGTATGTCTTCAGAAGCTCACTCTACCAATAGTAGATACACCTATTCTGTTCGTAAAAATGTTCAGGTCTGAAGGTTGCTTTCCTACTGATACCATGGGAACACGCTTCAAGAGCAGGTTTTGCATAGCTGTATTTCTAATCATAAGTGACAAAAGTGGGACATTACATTAAAAGATATTTTTTCCATAATGAAATAAAAAATAAGACTTGAATATATTTTACAACTGAAAATGCTTCCAACTTAATTTGACAGAAGAAAGTAGATTTAATGAATTCTTATTACAGGGTGACAGTAAAATACACAAAACCTCTTTTCTCCAGTACAGCTTTCAGTGTGGACATCCATCTCTACTGACTAGAATTAACCATAAGCGATCCCATTGTAATTCTTTGAGAACTTTAGGGCTTTCCAGGTTCTTTCTCAGGGTGTTTGGGAAAGTGTTACATTTTCTCCCTCTGCTAGTATGTTCACAAAGAAAGAAGTAATTTTCCTTATACTCAGAACCATTTCCATCCTTTAGACACATGATTAGTCAATCCATAATTCATCAAGACTTGGCATGTTGTGGTCTTTGAATTTTATCCAGGAGAGGTAATTCCAGTGTGATGTTAATAACCAGCCTGTAGTCTGATTGCATCATTATACACAGATCTCTTCAAAAATGTCTACATCATTTAATGCATATAAAGCTTGTTCATGGACTTGTCAGTTTGGCTTCAAAAGAAACAGGTTTTTATCCATTTCAAATCAAATTCACCCTTAATTTAGACGACACTCAGATGCTTTACAGACAACTTTACAGTATTTTATAGAATCATGTATGTTGAATGAGACTTCTGGAGGCCATGTAGTCCCATTTGCTGCTCAAAGGGGCTCTGGTTAGAGCTCAGGGCTGCATTGAATCAAGTCCTGAACGTCTCCAAGGGTGGAATTTCCTCATAAACCTCTGTAGGCCCTTGTTCCAGTGTGACTGCCCTCATGATTTTAAAATAATGATTTATGCGAAATCATTTTTCCTCATTAATTGAATTATATAAAGTTATTCATAATATCGTCAACTACACATGGGAAGATGGCATGTAATGTGATTGTGAGTGTATGTGACACGTGTAACTAGTTTCAAATAATTATTATCCTATGCCACTGACCATGGAAGCTTATTATGATTATATAGGTTCTGTAATTCTACCATTTGGAAGTATAGTGGAATTCAAATTTGTTGGGAATGCTTTTATGGTAAATTATGCTAGCTCATCTGCTTGTGAGATGCTGTATGGTAATCAAAACAGTTGATCTTCTTAATTCCCTCCTGAAATTTTAAATAGCATGACATGCTGTCCATTGCTGTCTCAGTTTAATCATTGCACTAACTTGATGATCAAGTGTAGTTCTCACTGAATTGAATTGTAAGTGCAATTCTCAGCACTTCAGAAAAATCATCTGCTGATCCTTAGTCAAGTGCATTGAAGCAAATACACTCTTTTTTCTAGGCATTCAAATACGGGTTCTGGATGTTACCAAAAGGGAGCAGATAGAAAATCTGGCCAAGGAGCTTGAAAAGATTGACGTCCTCTGTAACATTGCAGGGTAATCACCTTCTCTTTGATAATACTCTTTTTCCAGTTTTCCCTGTCCTCCAGAACTCTTTCTGTTATTTCAATGCATTTTATTTCTTTCAATTTAATGGATTTTGTAACTTTATTACAAACTTTAATGTGTTTTCATCAAAACTGAACTTTTTGTGTGCAGCCACGTTACCCAGGACAAGACAGAAGGGCTCTTGAACTTACATTTTCCCCACTCTGTGGGAACCCTATACTGATGGCTTTGGCCCTCTTAGCACAACAGTGAGCAAAGTTGATGGTCTTCTAGTGCTCTACTTATTTTTTTCTATTGCTAAGTATTTCATTGCACATATTGAGTCTACCTTGTGTCCTTGATACTTACTCATCACAAGAAATACACTGTTACTTGCATTCTTTTAAAGACCTCTTGTCCCTCCTTTTCGAGGTTGAAAGAGTTAACTACTGCAAAACAGTGATGGAGGAACATGCATAAAAAGCCACAGAAATGTAAACTAGAGACAGTAATCTACTTCATGGACTTATTCTAGATTTGTTCATCATGGAACCATTCTGGAGTGTGAGGAGCAAGACTGGAACTTCACAATGAACCTCAATGTTCGCAGCATGTATTTAATGATCAAGACATTCCTTCCAAAGGTAAGGCTTGATTGCCTAGTCTCTGCTGCACTACGTTTAAAGTGTGAGAAGTCTAAGTTAGCCACTCTGGCGACATGGGATTTGAGATAAAAATGCAAGGATGCAGCTTTGGACAGGGAAACCCTTAGATTACAGTGATCCTACTGTAAAGCATTCTCTGCATTGTATAATCTTTTAAGTAGACAATTTATCTAAAGGATCTGGTAGAGAAGATTAATTCAGGGGTTTGCCCTATGTAATCTGTAACTAAAATCCTTCAAATGCTGAGCAGTGGGGAGCCACTGCAATACAGTGCTACCATATTATACTACAGCACACAACTGCACAATACCACTGCTACAAAATATTTATAAATAATGTATATTAACATTAATTTTATGGAACTCTGGAAACTATCTTGTGAAGCAATTCAGTGACACTGATAACATGCTGCTTATAGCAGAACAACAATTTGATGAATCTAACAGTTTGGGGACACTTTTTTTGACATAATAACTAGGTTTGGGTCTACAAAATCCTGTAGACTGAATAAGGTGTTTGTATTCCTGTAAATGCAAAGGCCAGATGTGGAAGGTGTGACCATGACTGGATGATAACTACTTTTTTCAGTATTGTTCCAGTCCTTTTTGGTTGGTTGGTTTGGTTGGTGGTGGTTTGTCTTTTTTTCTTAGCTGAACTTAATTTTCAAAGTAGGTTTGGGGTTTTTCTAACAATTTCATGCATATCAGGTTTTAGGATGCCTAGAAAAGGTTACAACTTAAAGAAATTTAGCTACAATTCAAAGGTGCGAGAATATTGTGTTTTAATCTTCTCCAAAACAAAAAGGCTTTGAATGGAATCAGTGAATTGCTGCATTGGTAGATGGCATGAGCAGATGTCTGTGTAGGGTAACTTACTGTGGTGACAAGAGGGCCATGATTCAGAGGTGGCTATCTAGGAAAAAGTCCTTTCCTGGCATAGTCTCCAATCCTGACATTACTTAAGAGAATTCGAGTGAGAACTTCAGGCTCTGCTTTACTGCTTCAATCAATGGCACTTATCCATGACAGTTAAGCTTTGTTACCTTGAGTATCAATTGCACATAAGGCTGTTCTGTGAGTTGATGTGGGCTGTTTTACTGAACCTGCAGATAACAAAACAGTTTGCATTTGAATGACATAAGTCCTCTTTTGCAGATGCTTAAACAGAAATCTGGGAATATTATAAATATGTCTTCTGTGGCATCCAGCATCAAAGGTCAGTAGCTTGCCAGAGTTTCTTACATAAAACTTTAAAATTATGGGCATGCAAAGTATACATTGCACAACTTTGAATTCAGAGGACATTCTAAATTCAAAGTTCTTTCTAAATCCTGTGGAGGGATGCATTTAGAAAAATAGAAGAATAGAAAAATCAGCTCATACATGCAAGGAAACAGATGGAAAATTGCAGAAATGCCAAGATCCTTATCTCTGAGCTTTTTCAATGTTTTGTTTTTATTAATTAAAAAGTAATTACTTCCAGTGATATCTTGCTGCATATGTTCTTCAGAGAAACAATGAAGAAATAACAATTACATAAGTGCTGTAGCTATGCTTCTCAAGGAAGCCTGGTGGTGACTAACAGATGGGTTTCTGCTGCTGCTAAATCTTTGTTGCTTTGTTACCTTTTCTTGACTACTCCCCAAACTTATACTATTGAAAGACTGTGTGCTTTCCTCTGGTGTATGCCTGAGTAGAATTGTGGCAGTCAGCATTCTAGCTAGCCTGCCCTTATGGAGAGGATACAAGTGCTCCAGGAAATTCTGGAGTCCAGAAGCAGGTGCCTCTTGAACAAACTTGTCTTTTTTTTTTTTTTTTTTTTTTTTTAAACCATCTTTCTGTGCTGCCTTAACACGGACCTTCTGTTAGGAGTTGTGAACAGGTGTGTATACAGTACTTCAAAGGCAGCAGTTATTGGGCTAACAAAGTCTGTGGCTGCTGATTTTATTGAACAAGGCATCAGATGCAACTGCATATGTCCTGGTAAGTGTTCTTACATTATTCTGTAAACTAGAAGCAGATACTAGAAGACCAGATTAAGTTTGGCATTATTAACAAAGAATAGACTTGGCAGTGGCAACTAAATTTACCAGCAGTCTAAAAGAATAGGACGTGCCTGAAAGATTTCTGAGATTT